ACACACTGAAATCCACATACTGTAGAATTGACAATCTGCACAAGCATAGATACTACTGAATATATATTTTAAAATAATGTGATTCATTTTTGGTTGGGTAGAATACTTTGATCTTTAAATGTGATTTCTTTGTCAGGATTAGCGGTGATACCTATTCGATGCCATACTGTACACTTCCTGGTTGAATCTATTTGTATGGTTGTTCATATGGAATTGTGTTTTATGTTATTGTTCATGCAATTACATGAACATGTTATGAGCATAGGAAATATTTAAGTGAAAAAAGGTCTTGATTCTAAAACAGGTTGTTTTTCTGTTTGCCGAGAATGCACATGGTAAAAGATTAAAAGAGGGTCAATGAGGGAGATTCGAGTAACTAATGTATCAATCAGGCTGAGAGAGCACATACTGAAACATCCTCCAGCAGTAATCTAGCAGTCTTGAGCTCAGGAAACACCCTCTGTTTTTTAATCCATTATCTTAATGAGATAAACGGGATTAACCAGATGAATGTGAGATGGAAACCCAGCAGTCTGTTAGTGTATCTGCCAACAGACTGCAAACTGTGTGTGTGTGTGTGTGTGTGTGTGTGAGGTGTGTGTGTGTGTGTGTGTGTGTGTGTGTGTGTGTGTGTGTGTGTGTGTGTGTGTCTGCATACTGTATATGCGAGTGTGTCTGCATGTGTCAGTCCTTGAGCGCATTCTACTTTTCATATATCCCTATCAACTAAGAGACCAGTCAGCTTCTTTCATAAGTGTACTCTTTTATCTGATAGAATGACATCTTTGCACAGAGAGTTTGTCTCTTTGTGTAGCCTAAACCGTAAGTTTATAAGCGAGGTCACAAAATGCCTCCAAGCGGGATTTCTTACTAATGCGGGCGCATCCTCTCTGGGTCAAAGTGTATGTCCTTCAAGCAGACAATGTGATATAAACACTTAAGTAGAGTCCACGAATAAGCACAATCAAGACTGAGTACATAATGAGATTTAGTCTGAATCAAGATCCAGAGGGTGCCAAGATCAAGCTTGTACTAGGATATAACCAATTCATTCATTAATATTTTATAGTAATTGTATAGTATAATCAAAAGTATTTAAGAACAAACTATAGTTCTTACATTTTATTTGAAGACTAGGTGGTGTAGAGAATGTGCTTGTAAAGTAGCTTAACTAGGTTTAAATAAAAAAGCAAAGAAGAAGTAAAGAGTTTATATAAAATCCAAAAAGGGGTACGTGAGTTCGTCTGACAGAGCTCTGGGGGTACCTCAGACCAAACAGGTTGGGCCCCTCTGGTCTAGCCTTTAAGATAGCATGGAAGAACAAAGTCTGTTAGATGTAGTGCAACTTGATAGACACTAAGCAAGACTAATGGCTGATGAGAATTTACAGTAAAGACCTATAAGCTGTATCTCTAGCAAACGCATACGATATTAGTTCCTCGAGCTAGTTTAATTGCATTTTTAAATAAAGTGGTAGTAGCGTCAATATACAGCATCTGAATCTCCTCCCCCATGGCTTTATAATTTCAAAATAAAGTTTGCTACGTACAAAAATGTATGTGACTTTCTAAAAACCAACAGTCAACATTACGCAGCCATTGGCCAGGTGTGCAAAAGTGATAAAGTAAGCAAACTTTTCTCTCAATATTTTGACAGTCATTCACATGACTACTTCTGCCCCATTTCATGTGCACAAATATCATGAAAGCCTTAAGGGGAGACCATCCTACAGTGTGCTCTTTGACCCTAATTGGAACAATGATTGCATGTTGCCCCTCTTGGCTTTTCACTTACCACTAGGAAAGGGTACTTTGTTCAACTCGGGACAGTTCTGAATGTCTTTAGTCTGATTGTCTTTATCTAAAGAGATCTAAAGACATGTTGTAAAATAGTGTTCGATCTTAGCATACCCTGACTTTTAAGCATTGTTCTATGCAAGCTCACACTGGTTCTGCTGCTTTCAAATGGGCCATGGCATTTCTAAGTATGCACACATGTGTCAAGAGTTCTCTCCAGTCAACCAGCGAATCCGTCCGTTATCTACACAGCCAGCCAGCTAGTCAGATAGCTAGTCCTTTGAAGTGTGTGTCCTATCAACCCAGTTTCTTGTCTCTCTGGGCATCACATGTTGTCAGACCAACAGCTGAGCAACAGCTCGGCAGTCCCATTAGAGTTGCTTCGCTAGAGCATAGCTCACTCCTGTAAAAATATCACCTTATACTGTAGTTTCACAAAGCACAGCACACCATTCGTACAATAGGTAACCTGTCACCAATTGAATGTGATGACAGGAGCACTTTGGTTACTATCACTTACCAAGACTGTGGTTGGTTGTAAAAGGCTTCAATTGGATGACCTAAGTAGATTTGCCGTAAAAGACTACACGTTTAAATCCTCCTTTGAATTAAAAATCATACTATCTTGATGACCGTTCTCATGAAAAGATGATCTGAGTAATTCACACATCATTTAAATGTACAAATTAAAGGGTTAACTCATTAAAATAATAAAAGTGACCATGAGGGTCAAAATAATCAAAAACAGACCATTTTATCCAATGATACAAGTCAACACTGTTACACTGTTTACTTTGTTTATCTTCCATTCCCCTCAGCTCTACTCCAATCTGCTCTCATCCTGTGTCTCACCTTTGTCGTGAGGATGCAGATGCAGTCCATCCTCACTAGTCCGGCCGGTGAACTTTCACCAAAACATCTTCCAGCTGCTACTTGCACCACTCACCCGCTTGTTGCTTTTAGTGACATCCTTCTGCTATCTGTCCGTCTTTGTCTCCTCCTCCTCCCTCTCTTCTTTCATCACTCAATCTATCTCTCCTCCCTTCCTCATGTCATCTTCACCTGTCTTTTCATCGGAGCATCCAGAGAGGACTTCTATGCTAAAATAGAGGCGGATTGGGAAACATGGCAGCTGTCCCGGTGCACCTCAGCCCGCCCTCTTGTTTTCCAGCTGCTATCTGCGTTTTATGGCAGCTGGTTGCCACATTTTGACTTCAAGAAATGCATGGCTCAGTATATGTCCGTGCAAACCCTGAACACACTCAGCACACACAAAAAAGGGCAAACATATCGAGACAGGCGCAGAAACGCATACACATGAATGCACAGGCAAACACTCACACGGACAGACTTTTATACACAGACGTAAGCACACACACAAATACTTATGCTACACACACACACACACACACACACACCACTCTCTGCTGTTTTATCAGGTCAGGCGTGGGGGGGTAGACTAAGTGAACAGTAACAGCAGTAGAGCAATGGATGCTCTACTTTCAACTTTGGGTATAAGCAAAGTTAAAGCTCGTTTGCACCCTGAAGCTTCACACAAAGAAGAGATTCACTCAAGATGCCCTGAACGATGTGAGGGTCTCAGGACAGAGGGTGTCGTATTTGTACGCTGTATAAACTGTAAAGCCCAATGAGATAAATATAAAATGTGGGATATTGGGCTATATAAATACACTTTGATTGATCGATTGATTGATTGAATATCATTGGGTCTCAATTTATTTTATATTATGCTATTTAATACCAGTAATCCCATTTTATTTATTGTCATCACTTACATCATTTTGTCCTTTAAGACACTTGTGTGAAATTCACTTTGCAAATTCATTTTTTTATTGCGGCAAACAAACGTTATAGTTGAGGCCACAGTGACCAACAAATTCAAATAATTTCATCCTTGAGCCCAAGTAGACGTTTGAGAGAAGTGTTAAGAAATTCCTTCCAGGCATAAGGAATATCACCTTCACATTCACATTCATTTCAATTAAAAACTATAGTTGAATATTATGCATTTTCAAAGACAATAAAACCAGCTTATAGGCAGCACATGAATACAACCGTAGTAAGAACCAACCCAAACACAATACAAGCAGTATTAACTGTAAGGGGACATGTTTCCTGATACACAAACATAACTGTATTAAAACAGCTTTTCACTATAAAGCAAAGTAAGTCCATATTAAATCAAATTCCCCAAGATGTGGACTATCAGCAGCAGAAGAACAAAGCCAATTTGTGTGCAGTGTAAACCTGTGTTTAAACAGCCTAAACCACACAATGCCATTTCAGCAAGATCAACAAGCGAAACTAGTTGCATGAGCCCATCTCTAAATAAAATGTTACTGAACTGAATTGATTCCCCTTGTCATATTATGTAATGAAATGTAAGCCGATGTCCAAACAGCCAGCCTGCATAAACGATCTGTCCATCTAACTGAGCTCTCTGCAGCCACCAGCCCCTCTGCATGGCTACAGAGGAGACGTGTTGTCACCAGTTCATAATTGTACTTCCTGTATCATAAATGTTTCTATTTAGGACAAGTGATATGTTAGACACAAAAAAACTATCAAAGTCTTACCTCTATGTTTTCTCATTTTGTACAACCATTTTTCTTCTGTGTAAACAATAGCAGGGTGAACATTGCCCCTTTTCTCTTCATAATCTGCATCCTTAAGTAAAAATAGCATTAAACCAAATGGGCACAGATACAGAACGTGGTGCAACACAGTGAAATAAAACTACCTTTAGAGGTTCTGACAGTAATTCTGACAAAAGACAATAACTAGATCATGTATTTACTAACGGAATCAAAGCAAATGTATACACTATCTGACAGATATCAGCTAAATAAAACCTGAAAAATCGAAATATGGTGAACCCATAATAACGATGACCACTACAAAGAAATCTCTGCCACATGACCATATAAACATATATAATGGGATTCAGTACAGTATATTAACCAACCGGACAAAATGTCATAGGTACAGGGGGATAATTGCCTTCTCATCATACAGTAGATTCTCTGAAAATCATAGCAGCACTTTTCTAGAGTCGTGCAGCCCTAACTGTAAGCTCAAGTTTGCCACCCAGAAACTGAGATCACTCTCAAGTTTGATTCTCTGGGCAGAGATGTCTTGCAGTTTTCCCATGGTGCTGATACAACACAAGCAGAGCTGTCTTACCTTGTTGGGGATCAGTGGGCTGGTTGCTGGCCGGGGGCTGGCTGGGCCGTGGCTCGGGCTGGTGGAGGTGACTTTAACTGGCCCGGGGCTGGTCGGACTGGAAAAAGATAGCAAGGAGAGAGGGTGTCTAGAGGTTGATCTGAAAACTGTCTGATATTATTCTGCACTTCTACATCTGAATTCCCAAAAGCAAACAAATTGCAGTGTTGGCTGCAATATGTCAACTAACTTATGTGAAAGACATGCTTTTTCATTTAAATCTTTCTGTGTGTTTTGGCATTTGTTGGAAATAAATAGTAGCGTGTACAGCAAGTTAGCCTGAGCGGGATAGCTAAAGAACAATAGATGTCCAATTACGAAGAAGGACCGCCTGTAGTAACTTCAACAACAACTACAGTATAGGATATTGATTAAGAAGCTATAGTCTCTGCTAGCCTTTAGCATTCATTTTTTTCTTCTACATTACCTTTATGCCACTATCAAACAGGGTGCATCAAAATGTAACTGAAGCTATTCTTTGTTTGATGTTGTGTCCACATCTTTGGTGTTCATTTCTCATTGCTGTAGTGTTTTCCACTGTTTATACCAAACATAACGTATCAGTTTGGTATGGGAAAATGTCAGTAAAATCCTGCTAATGTACTTTAATAACAATTCAAACATACCTCAGATGAAGCCCTTTAGTCAAAGGCCCTGTAGGACTTCTGGGACTGCGGCTGCTGAAGCTGAGCTTTCCCTGGTTGAGGCTGCTTGGACTCGTGCTGGGAGTGACCTGGCCGAAGCCTGAATCCTTGGTGGTCACAGGTGATGTGGAGACTACGACAGCGTCTGTGACTCTGATGGGACCCGGGCTGGTGACAGGACTGCCGCTTTTTGGGGTGAGTTTGTCCGGAGAAATTGGAAACACAAAGCTCTCGATGGTGCTGGAGACGAGGGCCGAGACAGTCGTCAGGTTGGGGTCCGGAGAGGTGGAATCACTCTGTGGAATGGTGGAGGAGGTGGAGCTTGCCACCGAAACATTAGAGTTGGTGGCAGTGAGTTGAGGCTTTGTTCCATTCAGTGCTGATCTAGGAGGTTTTTTTATTGGGCATTTGGGGGTTTCTACACCATTCACTGGGGCTCCGGGGGATGTGGCAGCAGAAGGAGAAGAGGGCAGAGAATCAGACGCCAATGATTTGGAGACTCCTGATTGGACAGGAGGGAGGGGAGCACGACACTTGAGCTTGGCTGGTTGTGACTCCGGTGAAACAGACTGTGTTGTAGGGGAAGATGGCTTTGATGTGGGTGTCCCGGATGGTAGTGGAGCAGCATGGGACTTGATCGACCTGGGTTTGGGGGACAGACGTTTTAGCTGGGATGATCCTTCACTAGCTGGGGGGCTCAGGGTAACTGAGGGGGGCTGTGGCTGGGGAGAAGGCTCTGCTGGGGGGTTATAGGAGTCAGGGAGGCTCCAGGGACCGGCTGTCTGGTCCACAGAACTGTCACTGTCAGCGAGGATGGTCAACTCGTAGTACTCCTGGATGTCTGGGAGGACAACATAATAGATTAGAGCCAGGAGGAATGACTGAACGGTTAAGTGGTTTTGTAAATGAAGTAATGACACTTTAAAGGGATGAATGTATGACAGTAATAATAAAGACTTACTTATTATAAAACTACACAAATTAATGAATATTTGAATAAATATCAGGCACACTGAGGCAATGTGTTCTCCAAAGAATACAGAACAGAAGAGATGCGATGATTATTCAAAGATGAAGTAGCTATTCAATTAATGATTAGTATATCTGTCAATATTTATCACTCAGAATTCAAATCAGTTTCTGGTTTAATCGTCTCCAGACTTAGGTGTTATTTGTTTTACATCATTATAAACTATAAATATATTGGGTTGTGGACAGTTTATGAATAAAAAATCAAGCTTCAAAATCTGGGCTCAGTAAGAAGGAGATCACTTTTTCACAATACATCGATCGAAACATAAGCAGTCCTATTCATCTAAAATGAAAATTATAATCAGTTGCAGCGCTGTAAAGCTGTTCCCAATTCAGTAGAAACCCGTAATCACTACTGTATGCAGATTGCATTCAGAGTACATTTAGTACATTGGTGGAGAAAATGCCTATACACTGTTGACCTCTAGTGGAAGCACAATGATACTGCCACCATATGTATTTAAACAGTAACTCCTGAAGTAGTCACAGTTCTCCACTTCAAAGAGAATTAGTTAATTATATTGTCATTTCCCAATGTAAAAGATAAAACAAGGACCCTATTAGATTAACTTCTATGATTTATGGTTTCACTTTCCCCTCTCTGCATACACAACTGACAGTTCTGCACTAAATCATACACATTGTTAGCTCAGACTGCTAAAACAAATAAGTGAAGTGGTCATAAAGAGATGATGAAGAGGAAGAAAAACAGAGGTGCAGTATGTGGGGAGAGGAAAGGGAAGATACAGACAGTTGAAGGATGGTTTGTGAAGAGAAAAGGGGAATAAAGTGAAGAGAGATTTGAACAGTATCATACATAAAAATAACCACACAACAGGCATCAAGGATGGGAACAAAATACAGTAACACACACACATAAATAAACATGTTCAAACATATTACATTACAGAATAGGCCAAACATATTTAAGACATAAGAAGTCAAGGATAAATAATACAAGGAAAAAAAAGACAGTACTGTTGTTTTAAGACACAGCTTAAACATGAAAGACTTTCGATTTAAAGGTCAAAGTCCCACACAGGATTTCAGTGCCCTGTTTAGTGAACAGCACACACACACATGCTCACACACGGAGAGGAGTGTTACTGTAGGAACTAAAGGTGTGGGCGTGGCACAAAGCAGGTAGAGAACCAGTTTGTTTAACAACACGAGCCTAGTTCACAACAAGCGGATCAAACCAGTTATACACAAGCTGTTAACTCTTGGGAGGAATTTATACTTGCAACACATTCACTAAATGCATGCAGGCTTTCCACAAAGGGGCCCAGTGTTTGCTGTGACAGGCCACATCACGCCTACATGGTAGTGATCGGATCTCAATTTTCTGGTGAAAATAAGCCATGTGATAGCACAAGTTATAGTAGAAACCGTGAATACTATGCTACCACAGCGCTCCTGTCCTTCTCAAAAGATCAGAGGGCCGTCAGTCAAACAAAAGCCAAACCTCCTTAGCTTTATCTGGACAAAAGAACACTAAAGCCAATCTGTCTTCATGCCTTCATATTGAATCCCAAACACATAGTTTCCTTCCTGACTGACAAACTACACCTCTCCGTCAATGGTAAAGACATAAAAGCAGCTATCAATGGAAACACAGAGCTTTCAAACTTGTTTTGGAAACCAGCTCTCAAGTACAAATCTGAAGGGTCACGAAAAAAAAACATTGGCATGCAGTAATATAGACGGTTTCTGTTTTATACGCCAAGGTTTTGAAATCCACGATAATGTTTCAAAATAGCTAACTAAAATCTCTTTCCAAGAACCACAGCCCAGTTAAAACTGTCTACAGCGAAGATACAAGTGTATCCCAATCTTAACCTAGAGGGAAATTAATATGTTAACATGATTTGGATAATTTAACACTTTTCTCTAACATAACTATGCTGGTTTTAATTCCTTATTCTCTGTTAATATAATGTAAAAATGGAGCCTAGGGCAGTCAAATGTGCAAAACATGGATAAAAATAGTGCAAATAAAGCTTACGTTAAAAGGGGCTTCAGAGATGTTCTACATATTTAGAATAATAATACATTTCATGGTACTCAAAGACACTTTAAATGTTAAAACTCATAAAAACATTTCACATCCAAGTATCAGCAGAAGGGCTGCAGCTAACAATTACTTTCATTATTGAAATATATGTGCTTGTATTATGGTCTTATTTATAACATGTACAAATAATGAAAAATGTCCGTCTGAGTTTCTCCAAGGTTGTGTCTTTGAAAGTCCCGTTTTGTCAGTCACAGACCCAGAGATATTCAGTTTAATATACTGACAGAAAGGCTCTATATCTGAGAGGCTGACAACAGATATTTCTGACATTTTTGCATAAAACAATCAAATCAATTACCACAAATATTTGGCTAACACCTTCTGTTGATGGACTCAATATTATGGGACTAATCACTTTAACCAGCAGATAAAGGCTAACCGAAGCTTCGCAAATAGAAGGTATAAATGGATGTATAAATGAAAAGTCACGGGCAGCGTATCTGAAAATTCAAACTGATGTCCTTACCAAGCAGAGCACTGAAGAGCTGACTTTGGAAGACATTGATGACTCTGTCCAGAGACTGCTGCAGCTGTGAGTCCTCCTCCACGCTGCCCTGTTTGCTCCGGCTCTGGTTCTGCTGTCTTTGGTCAAGTTTAGTCCGGTACTGCTGTAGAAGCTCCAGGGCTCGCTGAGCATCTACATATAAAAATATACATGTAAATAACTAAAACCTTTTTTTCCCCATGAGTAATGACTCAGATACAAATCTCCGGGCACTCTTAAGTAGAGCAAGGAGATAAATGTGCATTAAAAGCCTCCATTAATTGAGGATTAGTATGGTTAAAAACTCAGACCTCACAAGGTCTTCCTCAGGGTGAAGCTAATATAAAACAGATTGATAATACCTGGCTCCGTTAATAGTGAGTGTGGACACAGATGTGCCTGAAGAATGTTTTCTTTCGGTTTCTGTCTCAGCTACTTCCAGTTTGTTAGTGTTTGACATGCCATGCAAATTTGACAGCAACTCAAAATGAAAAGTATTTCTTCTTTCAGTACTTTGCAAGGTTGTAGCAATTGTTTGCTCAAAAAAGGGGGAATTACTGTGCATGTTTTACCCTTATTTTACAATAAAGCGGAACAATTAAGTGTTTTATTTTATTTTTAAGTCTAATTTCAAAGCAAACAGAGGAAATGTGGCTATTTATTGTATGTTATAGTATCTTCAATATGTGAAATTGGACCTACTATTACGTTTTACTATTATGGCTTTTTATTTCTAGGGTCTAATGCAAAGGGACATGAGGGCAAAATAGTTTGGTGTGAAAGAAGGAACAGACTACATTCCAGGCTCTCTGGCACACTGAACAGCTGATTAAACCGGAAGCACTGAGAGTATTGCATCTAACTGTAACCAATGCAACTTGCTTTGAATGCCAAACAGTCTGCCCATGTAATATATTGATCGTTTACGTTCGGCTTAGCCTATAAAACCACATAAATCAAGCAGAACGTTTTCAGATATGAATCATATATTATAGTATATTTCATTGCAATACTTTACTGTAATACGGCATGCAATCAACTATAGGCAAAGTCAAAAATGTTGAGCTGAATTCCCCATATTTGCAGTGCATAGCCCATAAGCAGATTTGTAAAAATGAAACAAGCTAACGTGGGTGGATAACTTGGGTGCCGAATTTACCACAGTGTGTTGATATTAAGTAAAATATTTGTAATGTATGATATACGATGTGTGAGTGCGACAATTAACAATTCAGCGTTAAATTGACGGTTTGTTAGTGAAGTTTCGCGAAATCAAGGGCGCTTCGTTGAGTTAAAGCTACGTCAACGCAACCTTTTCAGAGTTGTAAAAACCTATGCTTTAGATATTGTTTGTCAAAATAAAATATGTGGTGGAATACATTACGGAAGTAGAGATGAACACTTAAAAAACTATTTACCTTTCTGTCGCACAGGCATGGTGACACGCTCAGTCCTTCCTCTCACGGGGGCTGGTCTCTGTGTCGATGTGATAGTCTCTGTTAATGCAGATGTGTGTGTCTGTCCCGGGACAGCCTGCCTCCAAACTGGGAGACCAAACTGACACCACAACCGTCTACACCCACCTGTCTTTTTAATCACAAGGGATACTTTTTCAAGGTGTTTTTAAGTCCAAGAAAAGCCGTCACAGCGGCGGAGGAAGAAATGAAGCGTTGGTATCAAACGTTGACAGTCACCGCGTGGACTTAGTACCCGGAGCTTGTTTTCTTTCTCTACTTCTCTTTCACTTTTTACTCTTCCTCTCTGTCTGGCTTTGGAAAAGCTAATGCAGTCCATTTCTTCATTCAGGTGACTTGACTCCAACACGCCGTCGGACCGGTTTTTTGGCGGATGAACAAACACTCACGCGCGCGCGAACATACTCACACACTAAAGAGTCCCCAAAAGACTCACACACTGATGCACACACCTCACAACACAAAATAGCTATTGTGGGTCTCTGCTTGTCATCGTGTTTTGTCATGTTAAAAAGCTAGTGTGCAGAGCATAAACGCCAGGTTTATTCCAGGGCAAACACTGGATCTAGCCTACATATATTTTAATCCACTCAGCTCTGAGTATAGATTTAGGTTTACAAACACTGATTGGTCTCCCAGAGGCAGATCTATTTAACCTTTCCTCCCCTACTCCCTCTGTTTTATGCTGCTTCTGATTATGGTAGTTTCCATACAGCACGTGTGGACTAAATTGGCACAGATATGATGAAAAGGTGTGGTCAGATATTACAGCAAGAAGGAGGAATTTGTTTGCATCTGGTCACATACAAATGCACAAAAACACTACCTTAATCCAAAAAGTAAGGTGTATTAGGGGGCTCCAATTTCAACGTCACAGGTGTAATCCCACCATCTGCCTGGGCAGGTCTACCCTCTGTGAGTTTGGTAGTATTGTCATGGTAAACAGCTGTATTGTGTTGATTGGATTAAAAGCTTCTCTGTACTAGGCTTGTCCCTATCTCCCAGACTAGATCCATGTCAAATACCAGCGCCTAGTTTTCCCAAAACGATGCTTCTTAAAGGAGTGGAACTACAACATGAAAGAATACCAAAATCCATGCCTTGTTAAACGGAAGTGGCCCAGTGAAAAGGTATTCAATACACTTTAGCAAACATAATTGCCAATGAATTCAAAGTGGGAGTTTTGTTATAATGTGTTCATGTCAATGGGCTAAACTATAACTATAACGTGTCAATATATATTTTCACTCTAGTGGATAAAACACACAAAATACAAAGTGTACCTTTGTACTAAATATGTAGTTTTACTGTAATCCCCCTAAGCTAACTGGTTCCCCATACTTGTGCTAAATACATTCCTGTGCACTGGACGAACAGAGAGGAAATTGATATTGATTTTTCTCTTCAAACTGTGGAAAACAGAGCAAGCAAGTGTTTTCCCCTATTTGTATGAGTGCATCTTTTCTGTCATTTGTATCAGCGGCATATTTAGACTACCATTTTAACTTTTATGATACATATTAATCTAAATCCAACCTTGGCATTGGAGAAGCTAACTGTTGTTAAAGTAAAGTAAAGTGTGGCAATGCAACACTGATGAATGATCAGTTCCATCCTGCATGTTGGACACAATATACTGTCTGTCTGTCTGTCTGTAGCCTGTACTGTTAAAGGATTGCTTAATCTGCACAGCCTACACAGCAGCTGAATGCAGGTCATGCAGTCAGTCTCTGGTATTGTTATTGATCAGGTCAAGAGCTTATTGATAGCTTTGGTGGGTGCACATAAAAAACTCTTGCTCTGTATCTTTTACACACACACACACACACACACACACCACCACACACACACACACACACACACACACACACACACACACACACACACACACACACACACACACACACACACACACACACACACACACACACACACACACACACACACACACACACACACACACACACACACACACACACACAGTGATGCCTGCATAAATAATGAGCCAGCGTGGGGAGAAATATATGCATGATTATGGAAGTGGGTTGGTCAGACGGCACACATAAGTATCTTGTTGTGCAAAGCAGAGTGTAAAAGACAGAATAAAGTAAAAGGGAACAAAAGGGAGTCATTCTGCTTTCATCAATGCATGTGTTTGTGTGTGTACTATTACCCTCTATTGTTAATTGTCCTCCTCTAACACGTAAGCAGAGCTGTTCTACTGAGAGTGATGATGCCAGTAGAGAATGGTACAACACAGATAGAGGAAATAATTATCAGCCAGTGACACCTTTCTTATAAGAACATCCATAAATAAAAGTAACAAAACATCACTGTAATAGTCCATGCATGAAAGTAGAAGTACAGACATTACATCAGCAAAACATACTTAACCCTTGTGTTGTGTTCAAAAGCTGTTACCGTTCATGGTGTTCGCGGGTCAATTTTGAATTTTTGACCCATGATTTATCTCAGTCCAAAACACACACAAAAAATGACTATCATCCAATATTGTTTTAACTACATCATAACTAACTTATTATGCATTCATAACCATACAATCCTGTTGTAATTTAATGTCATGGCCCAAAACGCATTACACCACATATTGCACACATGCATATGTGTGTTCAGGTTCAAGTGTTAGTGTACATATTCTTTGAGAAAGGTCGAGTTCCCGTGGGGGGAGGGGGCCAGAGAGAGGGGAGACCAGGTGCATGTTGCGAAAAGTTATTGTTACAGTGGATGAAGGGGGTGGGGCTGAGGTGTCTAAAGTCAAAGATTAATCTTGATTGGGACAAATTTGACCTCGAGTCACCCAAAACAATTCTGCTGGGTCTCCCTAGACCCGAACACCAAATGATACACTTTTTTTTTAGAGACCTTCAGACTTGGCAAACATTTTCAAAATCAGTTTTGTAGTGTTTATATAGCTGTTGTGGAGGATATCATGAAGCCTTGTTCTGATAAAAAAAACTAGAGCGTAGTTATTATATAATTTTAACAATGTCTTAACTGGCCATAAACTTGACTAACTATTTAATTTCCTTGTCATTATACAGTATTCCATCAATGAATGACAAGGTTGTGGATCAAGGCTGGTTGTGAAATCCAGATGTAGACTGCAGTAAGAATCTCTCATCATACCAATTACACTTTTCATACAAACATCACAACTGGTTTAGGACTCTGTGAACGCATGAACAAGCTCCAGTTTTGTGCCCAGCCAACATCCATATGTAATTATAATCAATCAATGACAGACACTTTTTTCTTGCATGTCCAGTGTGCAAAATCCATATGATTTTAATACACAATACTTACCACAATATGCCAGACCTTTTCATTGTTTTTTTTATCTGTTTCTTGAGTCAGACTGACAAGCTCGACTGTCCCTCTGTAATCCACGGCTCAGATAAATGTCAAGAAATAGATGAGATGGACGGATATAGAGGGATGAGAAGAGTCAGGCTGTTAGACTAATGGACAGAGAGACAAAAGAGCATCTGCTGAGAGCTTCTACAGACTTTAATCCACAGAGAAGCAGAGGAAAATGAAATGTCCTACAGACCTTCTAAGGCCATTGTCATCACTCTCCAATTTACTTTCTTCAGCTCATCCCCTTTACTGTGGCTCTCTTCTTTATCCTACTCATCTCTGTTTATTCTTGTATCACTTTATCTCTTTCTTTTCAGTAATTTTCTACCTCTCTCCCATTTTGTTTCTTTATTTTTGTATTTCCTTTCTTAATCTGGGCTCCTGCCTTGCCCGTTTTCTCTTTATTTGCAACATTTTTCAACATCTCTAAGAAGAACATCATTCCCTCATTACTTTCTTATTTTCTAATTACCTATTTTCTCCCTTCCCATTCTTCTTTTTTCTAATCCCCCCTGTTTTTTTCTTCCTCTTTCTATGGAAATAAGGCATAAATAAATACAAGGAGCAGAAAGAGAGATATCCCTCTTTTCCGCCCTCAAGTAAGAGCTCAGTGCAACAGGAGGAACCCATATTACCAATAGTGACATTTTTATTATTTGTACAATAGAGACTTTAGTACATTATTCAAAACACTTCTTATATACTGAAAAAATGGTACGTCCCAAAGCCCAAAATGGCTCCAGTATAATTGCTGCACAGCATTTTTTCTATTTTATACATATATTATTTTTTGTAAAAATTGTATCTTAAATAGTATGTACAGATAGCGTCTGCAAAATGCATTCTAAACACATGATATATATTATATATACTTCTGCAATTACATTTCTCCGCATTAATACTCAAACTTAAAACTGGAAGGATTTCAACTTGCATGTGCAAATAAATAAATAAATAAATAGTTCTGTTAAATTGTCACTAAAATCTGTCCAACTTAAAACTCGACAGCAGTTCTCTCTTCGGAGGTCAAAGTACTTTTTGTCACACAACAGAAGAAGCAGCATTCAAGTTGGGTAGGTGTAGGTACTGCAGAAAGCATGAGTACATTCACAATCAATATGAGTCATTTAAATTGGATTTCATTCACAGCTATGTACAGTGACACCGCCCATTTGTTCAGCTCTTATGAAGTTTAAACACATAGAAAATGACTGTTTTTTTATAGTCATATACATATATATATAATATATATTTGTATAACACAAATTCACAATTACAGTAGAAATACATTTTATACAGCTTTGGATAGTACATGTGTAGGTCTCCAAGTCATACTGTGCGTACTTCCATCCATTGTTATAAGTGTCATTATTATAAAATATCACAATTTTTGAGCAAAGCTAAGGTATATCAATATATTTAGAAAGAATTACCTGAACATGTAGTAAAAAATAATTATATTATCAAACTTTTTTCTCTGTTCTCATCACAATATCTTTGATATTTCAAACTCTAAATAGGATCGGGTGGGTACCTGGGGTTAAGATTAAGTCTCTTAACCCACAGGACTTCACTGTGCCATTTTGTGTCCCTTAAATTGAATTAACTAAATTCTAACGCTTATTAAGAGGGTTGACACAAAATGGCCACAGGATGACACTGTCACATCAAGTAAAAGCAAACAACAGTGATGGATGTTGTTTTGCTCTGGATGAAACATCAGATGTTATACAGAACAAAACAAAACTCACTGTCATGAAACGTCTTCAAGAAATGTGTTGCATTCACACAAAGACAGGAAATGAACCTCTAACCTTTTTTTTTAATCCTGCGTTCAATTCTGTCATGTCTATTCGGGGTCTGAAGCATGACCATGAAGGTCAGAGCTTACCAATGACATTGCTCCAGAAACATCTCTTCTACATCAACACAGTCAACATTATTTCTCTTCCTACCTACACATAATTTGAACATTCACCATCTAAATTGGCAGATCCAAATTCCCATGTTCACCATTGAAATTTAAGGTGTAGCCAAAAGACTTTGCGGCACAGATCAGATCTTCCCCTGATTGTTTCAATCTGATTTACTGCAGATTTACCCATTAAGACGGTATTAATACTGACTCTTGTTGCTTTCTTCAGGGAGGCCAGAGGTCAGGACTCAGCAGAGTGGATGCTTGGATTTGAATACCAGGCCAAATGTTAAAAAAAACTAACAGTGTCCTTACTCACTGTGATCCGATCAGATCTGGGCCACAAAGAGGTAAAGCTCTGATGTTTCAGGCCTGTGTTAATACAACCAGAGAGGGGCAGAGGGTCCATTTGGCACAAAGGATAGAATATCAGTCTCACTGAAACTCAGTGCTATAATACATCTAGAGTCTCCTACAGAGAAGAGATCTCTCGAAGCCAACAGAAAATGGCTGGCTGACAGTGACCAATGATATGAAGAGCATGCTGGGATTTTATCATACAACTCAAACAGCTAAAATATGATGTAACATTGCTGTAACAATAATAGAAAACAGGACTTCAAAATATGATTAATGTTACAGTGTTTGAGTTTGACTGGTTTTATTACAGAGATTGGATTGTAAAGTTAGTCTCGAGTATAGACAGGGCTTCATTACGAATAGTGCACTGAGCACCATTGGATATGTGTTGTGTATGGGGGCACATAAGTTTACTGTATATGTGTGTTTCGCCTGTTAGCTCATGTGCATGGCAGTGTGTGTAAACATTAGCATGACTTGCTCGGTAGATGGCACTGTGGGACAAGTTAGGCTCTGCTGAAAATGTCAATGGGCCAAGCCTCAGGAGTATTGCTTCAGCTTTTTTCAGCATAGGTGTGCAAGCAACACTTACAAAAAGAAAAAAAAGAAAACGAGTAGCAGTAATGAACTATCAACAGTGTTTTCTTTACATAAAAAAAATCAGTGGTATATTAAAAAATTGTCCATTTGGAGAAATAATCCCTGTATGTTCATAAGAGAGGATTCAGAATGTGGTTTATCAACAATATTTATATTAATCCTAAACTTTTAAGAGCTGTCGTTCCAGGCCCCAAGGAAAGTGCAGCTCTTGAAAGCTGCAGCTTTATATATGTACACAAGGCAGACAAGTTTTCTGTATACTGGAGGAAATAATACCTGCAAAACAGAACAGAAGACAGCTGAAAAGAATGAAAAAAAACACAAGAAAACAAAAGAAGATAAGACAAGAAAGAGAACCAACAGAAAACAAAAGATAGAACAGAAAGCGAAGAGAACATTGAGGAACAAGGAAAGTGGATCATGTGCTACACCAAACACAAATCTACCGTGGACAGCAAAATTAATGGCAGTGGAGAAAAGCAAAAAATACAAAAAATAACCTTAGACACTGAATGATGAGATGCCTATAACAAACCACAAAATCCAAACTGCAGCAGCCCTGTAGGAACTCAAAGTGTCTTCTTGTGGTCTGTCCAGCCGTCAATCAGATCCCTGACTGCCGGTAGACAGAGGAGCCGATATGTTTCCTATGGTACATTTGGCACTAGTATTTGCCTTTGGTCCAGCAATAGGCAAATAAATGTCTGTGTTCCCCTAAAAAGGTAAAAAAGGCGGCTCATTTTTCAGTTCCACAAGCCTCCAGCGGAGGGCAGGTGGGACGGCATGGGATGGCGATGAGCAGAGTAGAGAAGCGTTGTTGTTGTGTTTGTTTGTTATAAAACTATTTTTCTCTCAGAACCACCAAGTCCACAGTCGGCTGGAAACTCTTCAGCAGAGAGACGGCTGTCTCGTGCTCCATGTGTAAAAAACTATGTCCGTTAGCCTGCAAGGCAAACACGCAGCACGGTCAACAGCATGTGTGTGTGCAGGTATGTATAGAGAGAGGTATGTGTGCAGCAGTATTCCCATACATATGTCTATATGTGTGTGTGGAGGGATGGAGGGCCACTGCCATCATTATCTCAGTAACACATCACTGTTGGGGAAAAGAGAGAGAAGAGGAGGAGCTACACAGTCATGCTGTAGAGGGAGAAGGGGTAAAGACAAAAAAGGGCTTTTAGATGAGTTCATCCAGCTAAACTGTACATCTGTGGAGAGAAGATGAAGGGGGAGGAGAGAGGGGAGGAAACATATGAGGAACAGGGGTTGAGGAGGGGGTTCAATCTGGCATGGTAAAAAGTAGGTGTCTCATTTAGACCTCACAGTAAAATCTTTACAATTTGGGCTCAGCACTTTGGAATAATAGCAACAATTTAGGTATAAATTCAGTTATTATTTTTGAATAATTAGTTTATTGTTTATTGATTAATATTGACTGAAGCAGGAAGTTATTTTAACAGCTTTTTGTTGGCCCTGGGATAGTGACCCTGCAGGATGTACAGTATTTAGAATATACTTGTGTTTACTTGTAATGTTTGCTTTTTCACAACTTATAATAATAAATGTGAAAAGGTTGCTAGTGTTTATGACCACATTTTATCCAAAGTTATTGCATATAAATATCAATTACAATGTAGATGGGTCTTACTGTATAATGACCCTGATAATGGGTACAAGCTGAAACCTTTTTTCAGGTTGCAACTAACAGTCATTTTTATTATCAAGTAATCTTCAGATTATTTTCTGGATTAATCGTTTGTTCTATAAATGTCATAAAATACTGAAAGATGCACCGTAGTTACTAAAGATCCAAGGTGGGGTCTTTAAATGTCTTGGTTCGTCAGTCCAAACCCAAAGATATTCAGTTGGATTATGATATAGACAAAAGTAGGAAATCTCCATATTTAAGAAGCTGAAAACAGTATTTTCTCCCGTCTTTGTAGAATAGCCCTTACCGGCTAAGAGTACATCTACCTTTGTTTTTCCTATCGAATACTTTTTATAAAATAAGGGAAGGGTTGGGAAAGTAACGAAGGGGAGAGAGGGCAGGATGTGGCCCGTTTGACGATGAGTGAGAGGATGTTACCTGCAGAATCTTGTCTCCGGGCTGCAGCGTGGAGGTGGCGGGCCCGTCATGCTGTACCCTAGTAACAAAGATACCCTATAAGTCAAAATGATACACCGTTAGGACAACACAGGGACACGATGGTTTAGAATCTTTGCCTTTCTCATTCTCATTCCATTATCCACCCCCCCAAAAAAGATTACATTTCTGCCAAAAAGATATGGGCTTTTCACCAATGCATGTTTTACATTTGGAGAGGCATGCAAATTATGATATTCAATTGTTTGAATATAATTTACAGAGGCTGAGTGATACATTCCCTACAAAAAGACATAGATTACACATGTCAAAATGTTTGTTTTATCTATTTATAGGGATAAGGACCTGGCATAGGCATGAAAGAGAGTAGAATAGATATGCTGTAAATATATAAATAGATCAAGAAGCATAGTTGTGGATGGGAGTAGAGGGGGTACTAACTAAAGTAGGAAGCGGGGAAGGTAGAAGATATTTTATCCCCCATATTTCCCCCTGATAACCCAAGGCAGAGATTGTAAAAACACCAACATCTTTTCACCGGGAGCTGAAAGATGTTTTGGAACACAGAAAGTGTCGGACGATGCGGCTGTGTCGACTCAGTGTGGTTCAACAAGGTTGTGCATGTGTTGAACACACAAGAGTGAGCTTAACAGAGCAGGTTAACAGGAAGATGTGGTAGTGACAGTGCAGTGGCACCTTCATACCACAGTCTGTGTGTGAAAGCAACAACAAACACATATATTGCATGTTAAAGAGGTGTGTGTTAGAAGTATTACTGTAGTTGTGTTACAATTGCATTTGTACAGTGAGCCTCATATGTGTATACAACCAGATGGTACATTTTGTTTGTCATGATTATATTCAATTAATGCCAGTTTAAATGTGGTTGGTTGAATTTACTTAAAAAATTGGATATGGAGCTCACTGTAAATTGTGATTGTTGATATGCTGAGCATTTTGTAGCAGTAGTCACAACATGTAAACAGTTACACACTACAAAGCAGTTGCACATGAAGCTGCAGCACCCTGCAAAAACCGTCCATCTTCAAAATGTCAGATGTTTCTGGAAATTTTGAAAAACATTTCGTTTTTTCAGGACAATATTGGGGAAGAGGTTTTTGCAGCTCAGTGATAACATATATAAGAAAGACAGATGCTATCCACAGCAGCTCAGTGTGCAAGGACAGCATATTAGGTAACAGCAGTACAGACAATTGGATTTTCAAACATCCAGGTCTGAATGTTTGAAACGTTCTGCTCCTTGAACCCCATCTTCTCTTCCTTAACTGAGCCTGAGAAGCTAATACATCAAAGCCGGAGATCCCAGTCCTGTCAACGTCTCCACTTGCTGAATCCTAATCAGCCAGAAGTGAAACTGACCCAGCGGCTTGGAGTTTCTTAGCTAGTCTTTTAGATACAAATGTAGAAGATCATCAATTCTTTTTCAGAATCCCGATATTGGATTGCAGCAAGATTTCCAAAGGATTTCCAAACACTGAGAAATCATTAGGGATCTAAACTCTAAGACAACTTGTCAGATACAATATGATAAGGAAACTGTTCTGGAGGTGTGTTTTGTAATCTCAATTTATATGAATTTATACTTGCAAGATTTCTATGTCTCTATACAAGAAACACTTGCAATGATTAGTACTTATAAATCACAATCAGGCCAAGATTATTTGATGCTAAAAAGAGTAGACATTTATGGAAAAATATATTCATTAAAGGTCCCATGTCATGCTTTTCCGGTTATTACCCGTCCCCTTGTGTGTTATGAAGGTTTTTATGCATGTAAACGGTGAGTCAAAACCCTCAAAGTACACCCAGTAGCGAGTAAAACTCTAACACAGAAAATACCTCCCCAAAACGCCTCGTTGGAGATACGTCATTGTCCATTTGATTCTTTCCATTTCCACGGATTGGTCCATTTCGTTCCGGGTACGGCTTGACATCATGCCGTACCCGGAACGAAATGGACCAATCCGTGGAGCCGTTACGTTACGTCCGCGGAGCCGTTACGCTAAGCCCCCGCTGATTGGTCCAAATTGACCAATCCACGGACTTCCTCACACACACATCTGTGTGCAGGGAGCAGGCAGCTCAGCTGATTTCTCCTCCCTGGCTGCAGGCTGATAACAGACAGTTGGGATCGCGGCAAAATTCTCTCTGCAGACCCATTCTCACAGCGTTTATCAACCTTTTTCTTACTCAATATCAAGCCACACTTATTGTTTTTACTTCGGCTGTGAGTTTGTGTGTGCTGAGGATGAGTTTGGCTGTGTTTCGCTATGTATCCTAAACAAGGAAACAACACCTCCACGGAGCTCAGCGCGATTCACAACGTCCCGACCAATCAGAGCACACTGTGCTCACAGGGAGGGTGGGGGCTGGAGCTATTGGAGCTACAATGAGCCGTTAAAGGCAGAGAGTGAAATTCAGTGAATACACGTAGTTTACAGAGATGCTGTATGAGAAACCAATGTGAGTTTGGACAATATAAATCTAGTAGACCTCAACAATGGAATTATGATCAGTGGAAATGGCCATGACATGGGCCCTTTAAATACTTTTTATAAATAAAGTGCAACAAAATAATTATGTTAAGTTAAGGATTGTTTGTAGAGTCATTTAAACAACATACAATTATCATTTTATATTGTGAAATATTGGAGCTGTGTTCACGAACCATAAAGTATAGAGGTCTTGATTTCCATCAAAGGTTTGCGAAAATTAAACTGACATTTTCTGATGCCAATTTTGAAGTTAATGCTGCTAGAACAGTATTTTAGTGTTTGCGAATTATAAAAAAAAAACACAGTTTAGCTAGGCTACAAGTGTGCCAATCCAGCCGAGATAATTCAGAGGATTGTGCAAATAACAAGCTGGCCACTAGGGAGAGCCACAGTACTGCGGAACAGCCATTGCTGTGTAGAACATGGATGTGGAATACAGTCAGTCAAACTGTTGTGACATTGTCTTTTTAACTTTATATACTGTACCTGTACTCTGGTCTGCATTTAATTGAAATTCAAAGAAACTTACAATTGATACATTCTTAAGCTTTGTAATATACAATAGAAATAAGTAGGTCAGAAAATATGATGAAACCAAAATCAAAGGCATTGTTCTGAGTTTGAGCTTCTGATTAATCAGCCTAAAGTAGTCAACCGTAAAGAAGTAGCTTCACATGTTTGATGGAAGTTACAAGAATAAGATGATTAAAATTAGATTTGATAAACTGACTCGCAATATCTGCTTTTTCATCATGTGTAACTTTGAAGGCAAATAGCCTCGATGTGTGTGCAAACGTCATTTACATTTAAACCATATATACTTCCATGACTCAGTCAACATTTGAAATAATTGTCAATGTACAATAGCATAGGTAGACATTTTACTCTGATGTGATAAATTAAATGTATTATTATATTGATTCATCCGTATTAACGTGAGTCTATAAAGTATGTCTGTGTAGACCTACAGTATACATTACTCTTGTTTAAATATACTCTATATGTAAGGTAATTACTTGACAAAATATGAAGGAGAATCACTAGAGTAACTGCGGATGGCATTAATAATGGAAAACGTGCTGCTGGCGGAAGCTTTATGGATACAAGTAGAGATGGGTGTGATTAAATAATTGCACGTGTCAGCAACTGAGTCGCAAGATGTCTACTTAAAACTTAAGCGAAGTGATGAATTGACAGTTTCTATATTATCACTTCACACCCCCGGACTTAAATTAATTCCCCAGTTGTCACATTGGCTGCACAGAGGCTGACTCTTATTGTAGGCTTTCTATTTATAGACCAGCTGTCTCGTCAGTTACTCAACATCTGAATAACAGTCAGTAAAATCTGCCATACTTCCTGTCCTGAGATGAAAGTGATGAAAATCGTAGATCACCCACGGTGTCCCAGAACTAAAGAAAGCAGCCTTCCTAAAATAGCTGTCAGAGCTCCGTGAGCAGCCTCGCTCCTTTAGTCTGACTATAGCAGCATGTTTCTAGGACAGACTGCCATGTGCAGGAGGGCTGGGGGATGCGCAACCCCAAAAGGCTCTCGGCACAGGCACTGACAAAATCAGACAAACTCAGGAGTAGAAATGATAAAAGACTCTGGTGTATCTGGTAATAAAACATCATGAATGCACGTTTCCTAATAGTACAATATTCCAGTTTGTTGCTTTCTTTTCCAAGAGACCTGAAAGTGATGAGGACACTGCATAGTTCTTGTTACCGTTTTCCAAACCCAGTTGTCATTTCGATAATGTTTTTTAACCTGTTTGGTGATGCTGAGGAGAATTATTTTATAATTTAAGAGGTTTAGTTTTGATATTTTGTTATCACACCTCAGACTTCTTCACCCATGAATAAAATAAAGCCTTTTCTACCCAGACGCCTGTAGTTTAAGATTACAGACTCAATGAGATTAAAAGTTAACCAAGTCAACCTGCTGCCCCACGGACAGACAGACGAAAACACTGCGGTAACTAGCAGCAGTTTCCATGGCAACTCTGAGGTAAAGCTGGGGAGGCTGTGATAGGCTGGCAAGCCAGGTCGGGTCGTACCATGTCAGAGGGTTTGAAGGGGTTCCCCTGGCCGCTGATGCCACCAGAGATACTGAAACCAAGACCAGGGTTCTTCTCTATTCTCACACACAACTATAGAGAGAGAGGAGGGGGAAAAAAAGGAAGACAGAAAAGAAAGAAAGACAAGTGACAGTGAAATACAAAGATCAACACAATCTCTACACATGCAACACTTACAGTGGAGGAAGAGTGCTTTTAATGTGACAAGTAACATGCTTTTGCAGCTATATTGGAGGTCCTCAGTTCTCTGGCAACTATAACTGAGCCATAAATATCTTTGTCTGAATTGTTCTGTTTGGCAGGGGAAAAAAAACCTTGCAGGAAGATCAGCTGATCTGGTTGGTGTGAATGACTTCATGTTCCTACCTAAACTGGTACAGAGATCTCCATCTGTGAAATATCTCAGATTTAGAACTACGCCTCCATGGCTTTTTCTAGACCTGCATCATCTCACAAACTATGGCTGTGTGTCACAGTTTTTTCATGTTTTGTGCTAATAATTATAATAGTGTTAGTTGATAGCTATTGGCCTTATATGGACTCTTCAGAATTTACTTGTAACCATATTGACATGTTACTAGCATATTAACAACAACAGGAATTGAAAAATGTACTTGTTGGTTTGTTTTCCTGGTTTCACTCCTTAGGTGTTAAGTCCCAAAGCCTAGGGAGTGGGCGTCAGCATCTTTATACCGACGCACTAGGCACCATTTAGTGTGTGGAACACGGTTTCAAGTAACTCCAAGCCATCGTCAGCCATTAATATAAGGCACTGCCAATTTAAAAAACAGACCTCCAAGATAGTGTGGGACGGGGTTGCTGAGGACAGACAGACAGACAGACAGACAGACAGACAGACAGACAGACAGACAGACAGCCAGACAGACAGACAGACAGACAGACAGACAGACAGACAGACAGACAGACAGACAGACAGACAGATACCTGTTCCTGGAAACCATCCGTGCTCTTCTGGCCTTTAGTCTGCAACAGGCAGCGAGCGCTCTGAGGCCGCGGGTTGGTGTGGGTCATGACAGCCTGGTTGCTATGGACCATGCCCTGATTGGTGTGGACCATCCCCTGGTTGCTATGCACCATTCCCTGGTTGCTGTGTACCATGCCCTGGTTGCTATGCACCATGACTTGGTTGCTGTGGACCATGCCCTGGTTGCCGTGGACCATGCCCTGGTTTCCGTGGACGATGCCCTGGTTGCTGTGGACCATGCCTTGGTTGCCGTGGACCATGCCCTGGTTGCCGTGGACCATGCCCTGGTTGCCGTGGTACTGAGGGTTGGTGGCGGGCTGATGGGATGTGTGGGAGGAGTGGGGGTTGTACTGGGGTTGGTTCCCAGACGGGGACAGAGCCATGGACATGCCGCCACCGGGGTAACCCTGTCCAGGACCAGGATGGCCTGGAAGAGGAACATTTTTGATTGGTTACACTCTGAAATAAAACTATCTTTAACAGGTTAAAGTGTTGATTTGAGGAGCATTGTTGGTAGGCATACTTAATTCTACACCGACAGACCTGTGTTGTTACTGGATAGTTGTACGTTCTAAACTGAGTTGACTTCAATTCAACTTTTTATGCAACAGTAGCTTAAGCTGATTTTTGTGTGAATGTTTTTTGGAAGCTAGCAGTTTGTAATCAACAAAATCAACATATGGTTTAAATCCAGTATGCTCTTTCACCAGCATCCTTTTAAAGATTTGCAAAACAGTGACATCTAGCACAAATACATTATTTGAAGACGTACAATGACCTCATTTTGATGAAAAAATTAATAAAATGAAGGGGAAAAGAGACATAATCTCTCTCTAAGTAATTTTGTAAGAGATGGTGGCACTGATCCCCTCAAAATAAGGAGAAAATTAAATTAAAAAAAAACGTAAAGTGGTATCCTACTTGTTTTGTATATCTAGATTCAACCCCCAAATACATCATAACAGGCTACAAATGAACCATGTATACATGTATTTCCATTTACCTTGAGTCATGTTGCCTTGATACTGTCCAGAAGGAACCACTGACAAGGGCATCGCAGGTTGGTATTGGCCCCCTTTGTTCATCATCCCGTCGTAGCCCTGCTGCACAACCACACGATGAGGTGTAGTGGACGAGGAGGAGGTAGAGGAGGCGACAATCATGGTGTTGTGTGATTGGTGGGGAGTGTTGTGGGAGTGGGCACTCTGTGGACAGTGGAGAGGAAAGTTTAAGACATGTAAACTTCAGGAACAGAGGAATGGTTATTGGAGTCGCCTAATTATTTACATTTAAAGACATTAACCCAAGTTATTTCCAAGCTTCAACATCCCAAACATCCATAGGCTGGATAAAAGAGGGCAGAACACAGAGAAAAAAGGCCAGCTCTTACCTTTTTCATGAGGTTGTCAGGTGGGACATCCCTCCGGCCAAGTGAGTATGGAGCCCACTGGTTGCTCCCTGACAGCCCCTCCTGGTCATTATCCAGCATGGCAGCCTGCTGAGAGGGGCTCTGAGAGAGAGACAGAAAAAAAAAGGAGCGACACATTGACCATTACTGGAAATCAACATTTTATTTTAGTAATTCAATCATGTATCAACCCATTCCTATCTGAGACAGGTTTATATGATTGTTTTGTGAAATTCAGTTTTTTTTTACACCATAGGGTAGATAGATGTTCTCGCCTAGCTGAAGTAGCACTATATATTGTGTATTACCTGATAAAGGTGAACAATGCTTTTTCAGAATAGAATCCAAATATATCACATTCCTTTAGCACCAAAGCCTCTTGTCTCAACCCCTGAGAGCCTGGCTTCATTTTTCAGCAACATTAGAGTAAATATTCACGATGAAATAACCAACAGTGAGTATATCAGCTCATGTTTCATCAGGACTGTGTGGTTTGATTGCAACTGTCAACAGATTCAGATTCAAATGTTGCTGGATCCTGAATGGCTCAACTAAGTCACACACACTTCCAAACACTAAAAAAAGAGGGAACAAAATCATTAAGATTAAATCTCGAGTGAAATAAAAACCATTACTGTTTGGCACAAAACGGGATTCTTACGAAGCCTCCGATAAACAATGTAGGAACCAGTTTGAGTATTCAGGGCCTTTTAAGTGTTTCAAGGTCAAAACGGTGACTATGTTTTAATTGTATCAAGGGTAGTAATAGAAATGGTGGATGTAGACATGCAACGCCCAACAACTCTATGTGTCAAATATCTCCCAATAGTTTGCCAGGAAACTATTTTCGGATGGCAAAGACAAATCTCTGTTTTGGTTACCTTAAAATGTTGTAAGTGTCTACTTTTGAGTCCAAACACTTGAAAAACCAATCCATCACCAGAATTTGTTGTGGCTGCTACACTTGACGCTACAAGTGGCTTCAGTTATGTTGAAAAAAACATGCCAGAGTTAAGGGCGTATAATACCCAGTGTTTCGATAAGGTTGTAGACAAGCTAGCTATATCGAAATAATAAAAGCAATAATGGCGCAAATTTAAATAATATCTCATGGTTGCAACAATGAGGAATGAGCAATGACAGTTATTCTTCGTAATTACCGATGTGTGCAGTTATAGAAGGAGAACCAGGGTTTGTTTGTTCTCAGAGGGATACTCACGGCATTAGCAGATGGAGGAGGAGGTAGTGGCAGCCAGCGGCCAACAGGGGACTCATGCTTAGTGTTATTGTAAAGGTTAAAGTTCAAAGTGCTGCTGCGCCCCTGGCCATGACCCCCGCCCTGACAGAGCATGCCCAGCGTGAGCGTGTTGTGCTTTAGGACACCACTCTGATTGGAGAAGACAACATCACATGACATGGGTGAATGCAGGGGGAGGGGGGCGGGGCTCACACAGCGGGATGCAGCGTGGTGATAACACACTGTGAGCTCCACACAAATAAATAAACAACAAAAACACTGATAAAACAACAACAGTGCAGAGTTGCTGAAAGCACAGAGAAATGTTAGCTCGTGATTGGTCAATACAGACAAAGAACATTGTGTCATACAAGCAACCATGGATCAATTCATTCCAACATTACTGTGTAAGAATTATAATTAGTTATATGTGTGGATTTTTACACAAACTATAGTTACATGTGTGGATATTTACACAAACAATAAGCCAAGTCCGTAACTGAAAACTGATAACTACAAATATCTATTAACATCTATGTCTATTAAATGCTTCATTTTTAGCAACATCGAAAACTCATGACTTTCATAATGTCAATGCCAACATTTGTTGTTTTTTGAAGACTAATAACACACCCATGTATGGAAATTGTTTGGACTGTCAAACCTGCCAAACTATTGATCCATTGATCAGTGTTGATTAATAGACGATATAAGTAGTGACCTGATAAAAAAATACTTATGATCCTTGACAAGTGATTGTGTTAATTCTGATTTACATGTGAAAATATCAAACATCGAAAAACATTTTTGTTTCAAGAACCTTTTCTAATATATTATGCTCCTCTTGTTACTACTCAAGATCAAACTCTTCGTCACAATTCAGATTTTGTTGAATTGTGTTTCAAGACAGGATTTCTTCGGGCACATATCCAGTAGTGAGTGTACAGAAGGTCAAGCTGACAGAGCGACAGTGTGGATGGGACACACATGCAGCCGGACACATCTGGTCAACCTTACAACACAGACTTACACAGATACAGACAAGGAGGGCTTCTGAATGCTGTGTGCGCATGTTGGTGTTTGTGTGTGTGAGTGTATGTGTGTGTTTGCATCTCCCTTTTCACTGTTTCTGCATTGCATTGACGTACCCTGTCCAATCGTTTGGCCTCTATGTGCCTAAGTAGCTGTTGCCTCCAATCGGCAGGCATCCTGGAGGTGATGTCTTCAGGCTTCTGTGGTACGCCAGGTCTTACTTTGATGGTGTCTTCAGATGGTTTCTCTGGGCAGGTTGCCAGAGTGTAGTCAGGGGGCATTTTCTCTAGCAGGGCAGCCATGGTGGGACGAGCTGACACTGGACGGGCCTGAAGATTATTATTTTATAAAGACGATAAGAAATTAAGTTGGACTTGAGAGTGATACAATTAATAGCTGCACTTATCAATATAGTTGTTAGTGCATATATTTTTTAAACAATGGTAGAAAAAGGACTATTAAGTATGATAGGGACCAATCCACTGAGGATTAGCACCAATTAAAATCACTAGAGCCAAGCTATTAGCATGGCTAACAGTTTAGGGCTGTCAAAAAAAAAAAAATGATTGAATGACTTAATAAAAAAAAAATGGGAAAAAAAATCTTATTGATTAAACGTTTTATTTTATTTATTATAATTATTGATTTATGCTACTGTAAATTGCTGCGCATTGAATAACACTATCTTTGTTGTATAATAACAAATATTTCTGCCACACTGTCAGCCATTTAGGGGGTTCCACATTAAGTGATTTGCTTATCTGACCAGCATGCTCCTCGATACCTCACCTCACCTGGGACTATATTTGGAAAGTCTAATTTGGTGCAAATCCAGAACATGCTGATGGGATTATTTATGCATGTAGGAATGCCAGGGGTTTTTGGGGATATGGCAGAAGCAAAGGACACACCTGCGCTACTCTGCATAGCCTGTTGCTACATTGACCTGGACCAAGGTAATTGGTGGTTCCACTCAGTCATATACATACTTTAATACCTCAATCCTCCATTATTAAGTAGGCTATTTGTCAGTACCTTCCATATTACCCAAATAGGGTTTCATTTTCAATCTACTTGGAAAAGGGTGGGAAATAAATGGTTTTGTAAGGAGACAGGATGTAGACCTTCAGTCTCCAGAATCAAAGTCTTGTTCCGCGTTAAACCAACACCCTCTTGATGTTACTTCTGTTTTCAAAAAGCCAAGATGGCGGTAGCCAAAATACAAATCTTGAGGATTCAAAATGGTGGTCCATAAAACAAATGCGCGACTTTACGGTGATAACGTCCACTTCTTTTATTCAGTCTATTCTGTTAATGTAAAACTACATTTACTAATCAAAACCGGATAAAGTCCTGGAACAACTTGTGATGAGGGGCCCCTAAGCAAGGCAGTGGACCCCTACACTGCTCCCCAGGTTGTGTATATAATAGCTGCTCAGTGATCCTTATCAGCGACGTGCAGTCAGGGGAGGCAGGGGAGGCAGAGCCTCACCTGTCATACTCCAATGTAACAGAAAAACAACTAAAGTAACTAAATAGTAATAATAATAAAATGTCTCCACTGATCTGTGTTGTAAGTGTGATTTCTGTATGATTCCAATCGCTTTTTATAGTCAAAATCAGCAAATTGGCCGAGCTCCGCTACAACTACATGGGAGCGATGAGGAGTGAGGCAGGGACGAGCTCTGCCTCACGTAAGCCCACAGTAACTGGCTGGAGCACGGGCACTAATGTAGCGCGGGCACTTATTTTGTGAGCGCGCTCAAGCCAGGCTCATTTGCTTACTGTGGGGTGAGGTGAGGCACAGATGAGCTCTGCCTCACCTCAGAATGCGTCACCCCACAGAAACTGTCTGGAAAGCGGGCCCTAAGCGCGTGCCTGTTACCATCTCACTGTATGTCACCAATGTAATGTTTGTAGATCCCTTTATTACATTTATCCTCGCCATCCATAGTCTCTAAATAACTTATTTCACGTATATATGATATTTAGGCCCGCTGGTCTCATCATACAACGGCAATGAAAAAAGCACCAGGAGAGGCAGCCATAACCTCTGCCGCACTGAAGGGGGCGCACGTGAGCCCACAGGTTCTTGTTGCTACTGTTATTCTACGCAGAGACGGTAGACGCAAACAACAAACTAGACTTTAGTTTTGAAACTAGAGGGAGATAAGGAGGACTTTTACAAAAAAGTAATAGAGATTGTTGTCCAGAAGGATAGCATGGACTTCATCTTCAAGTCAAGGTAAGACCACAATTGTAATGAACATGGGATCTTACTAAGAAAGAACAATCCAATATTTAGATTTTGGGTATCCTTTTGTTGAACAGTCTGTTTAAAATGAATCGAAGCATCAGACTAAAAAAGCTTTTGAAAATAACCGAATATTTCGATTAAGGTAAAAATATAATATTTGTAAATCTGACTCTGAAAGAGTCAGTGCCTCACCAGCCATGAACCTCACCGCACGTCACTGATCCTTATACTAGGGGGCGCACGGACAAAAATAAGTATTGTGAGTTAGGAGCTGGAGAGGGGCCAGTTTGCCCTCCTGAGGTGTCCTTGAGCAAGGCACTGAACCCTCAACTGCCTAGGGCGCCTTACCATCTGTAGCGCCCTCGCTCTTGATTAATGTATGTGTATAGGTCTTGTTTATGCATGTGTGTATTTCGGGTGTAATGTGTTAAAATTACAACAGAGTGAAAATTATACTCCCAAAAAGGGATTAATAAAGTGTGTCTTTTAATTGCTTTAATTGATACATGCCTCACACTTTACAAGGGGATATTATGGGATTGCAATTTAAAACAAATTAGTGACTTTAAGTGGGACAAACATGCAAAGACACAGAGCTTAAACAATTTACAAAGGCATTTCCTGAGAAATGTTACCTGAGATGCTCCATAAGTCTCAGTGCTGTAGCTCCTGGCAGACAGGGGGCGGCGCTGAGTAAGGCTCTTTGTTGGGTAACCAATCATGGGCTTCTTTTGTTCCTGGTAAGTTGTATAGTCGTCATCGTAGCGGCCGTTTCTCTTATTGTGCATCATCTGGCTCTGGCTGTCGGACATGTTGGAGATAGCAGAGTGCTCCATGGCGGAGGAGTAGGCCAGAGCCCGACCATAAAGAGGGGGGTCAGCCTGAGGACAAGAGAGTTTACTTCTAAAGTATAACTCTTACGGACCTCTACATTTCACAAGAAATGTATTTTTGGAGGATGCACGATACAGTATACATTTAACCGACAGCTTTTCTGTAGGTCCTATTGATTGGATAAATTCATTTCTTGTTTTTTAATACTAAAACACTGAAAATAAACATTATTTAGCCAACAACAGATCTCTTACCTGCTGTCTATACTGAGCTTCCTGCAGCGCCTCCTGTTGGGCTTCATGGACTCTGCGGAACAAAGCAAGCTCTGTGGAGCTCACCAATGAATCTGCTCTTCTCAAAAACCCTGGCCTGGAGCGCTGTGACGGGATTGGCTGCTGATGCTGGCTGGGCGGACCATCCGGATTGATTGGTGATTGGGGGAAAGAAAACATCTCCAGTGGTGGATACGCCCGATACCGAGGACTCACCAGCTCCTTTGGTAATGTCTTCCCCGGTTGATTGATGTACTCCAAGGCTTTAGATGAGTGGTTGACATAATCTGGTGTGTTGGGGAAGGGGGGAGGGACCCGGCGGTCTATGGTCACCTGATTGGTTAGAATAGTAACCAGTAAGACAATGAGAAGTTATAGGCATTGCAGGCACAACTGTTGCAATTTATGTATGTTTTAGTTGAGTTACTTTTGCAAGAAGATTGTAAATGATATGAGTGACTTAAAAGCCCCTGAAAATTATCTTTGCTGACTGCCGAAAGTTTATCTTTTCACCTTGCTGCAGGCAACTTTAACACTTCAGCTATCCGGAAAAAAAATATTCAAACAAATGAGCACTGGTGGGATAGTGGAGTAATTAGCAGTCAAAGTGCCAGATATTTCCCTCAGGAGTTTGTACCCAAGAGCAGAGCTATAAGAGAATAAATATTAGCCTGGGTTCCAGAGACACAACTCGAAATTAAACAATGTTGCTCTTTAACTATTGGATGTTTAATAGGTATAAAAACAGTTAACTAACAAGCTCACCATACAGGTAATGATCTGTCAATGTGGTATTCACAACTGTTTTCTGCTGCCCTCAAGTGAACAAAATAATAAGGATGACAGTCATTGCAGGTTGAAGATTGAGCTGCTGACCTGGGGGTTGTAGTTGTGGTCGAAGTGATAGGCCTTATGTGGGATGGCAGGTTTCTGATTCTGTCCCGACTGGTTGCTGCCGCCGTGTCCTGGGAAGATCAGGTCATCGTCTAACATGGGGGCGGACTGTGACCGTGACATGTTGGTCTGCTCCATTGACCCGACAAACTCTTGACGGTCCAAACTAGTCTGTTGTTCAATGGAGGCACTGTAGCTGTCCACAGGAATGCTGTTGAGAGAACAGCAAGATAAATCAGCTACATCTTTGCAATCCCTTGAACTACTTACTTAACATGTTGCTTCTCTTATTGTTAGGAAAACATAACAGCAAACCTACCTGTAGACCTTGTAAGAGCCAATGTCAATCTCATCGATACTCTGTGACTTCTTAAACTTAGATCTCGTCTCCCTCATCATGGGGGACAGGCGGTCCGAGCTTTTACTCATCACCACGGTGACCTTGTTGCCCCCGCTAACACTTAGCTGATCCTTCCTGTTCTGATCCCCTTGATTGTCGTGGTACGTCCAGCTGCCGGGCAAAGGCCCTGCACCTTGTTCCAGCCTTGGAGCCAAAAACAGGTAAAGTGTTAAAAATAGCATAAAGGTGGGGTAGGTAAGTTTGAGAAACCGGCTCGAGATACACTTTTTGTTATATTCCATGTAATGCTCTTAACATCCCGATAGCAATGAATATCTTAAGTGCTTTGACAAAAAAATCCATAAACATGTCATCTGTGGAAGCTGTAGTACTGTAAAAAGTACGACCAATCATTTTAGCCGGCCCGGCTAAAATGACTGGATGGCCTACCTGCCTGTCAGCCTTCCATCTGTGCACAAACTTATCTTGTGCCCTCATTGGTCAAGTGCGCGTTCGTGTGTGTTGGAGGAGGGGCTCTGTAAGGAAGTGGCAGATTTTTTCCGGCTGTGTATTTTCAAATTCTAGCGCACTCGAGCTGGTTTCTCCAAAATTACCTACCCCACCTTTAACTACTGTAGACTAGTGTTGTAGAAGCAGAAAAAAAAATAAAAGATTGCTGACACTGTCCTTATGCCTTGAACCAAAAATGAACAAGGGGTTCCAGGAGCTTCATAATGATTTGAAGCACATATTATGCTACTATTTTGGTCTAGATTATTATATTACAGCCAACATCAGTTGGTTTGTAATACAGCAGTGACACTCAGAGATTAACATGAGTTATTAGGGCTGCAGATAATAACTACTGTCATTACAGATGTATCACTTTATCAATCAAATTATTAACATTAAATTAAAATGTAAGTATTTGAATTTAAATTATTTAAAATCCGAAAGTTGTCATATTTTGTGAATCTGCATCAAGACGGACAAATCAAAACCATAATTCCCCTAGCCTAATGTATAATATAAATGCACATTTCAGGACCATGTGAGCTCCAATCAGTTACCTTTGGTCAATGTCCTTGCGATCAGGGTTAGGACTGGATGTGGGCGTCAGGTCCAGTTTGGAGGGAAAAGCGGTTCGGTCCTCCAGGGGACTGGGGGTTCTGGTCCAATTCTGCCAGGGATTCTGGGAAGAATGTCCGGATGATTGTTGGTCATTGTCCGGAGTGGAGCGTTGGTTGCCGTGGAAGGGGAGCGTCTGAGTGTCCAGCTCCAGAGGAACCCCTACGATCCGCTCCTGCCTGAGGAGGGGGCGCCGCCCGTGTGCTGACTGGCTGCGGGGTTTGGAGCCCAGCGGGGGGTTTCCCTGACTGGTTGATGAAGGGTCCATAGGAGACTCCTCAGCATCAAATCCTGTGTTGTCATAGTGCGGGGCCTCGGCCCAATCAAAAGGCTCGCTCAGTGGGCGTCGATCCCCGCGCTGCTGCAGGGTTCCTGATGGAGGGGTTTCTCTCTGAGATAGCAGAGGCTTGGAGTCAATGGGTTTGGGGAAGGACTGAGCCAGTCTGAAAAGATACAGAAGATTAAACACTAATTATTCTGTGGAAGATAATGAAAATGGACTGAAATATACTACATTACTATGTTCTGTATAGTTAATCTGAGACGATGGGCACTAAAACAGCAGACCTTTCTGTGCCTATCTCTGATGTCTCTCTGGAAGATCAATTTGGCGAACAACCATGTTTGTTGTAACTAATGTTTCCGAGAGCAGCCTTGAACCGAAAACATTAGTGCTTTCACCGCCACTCGCAATTTGCAAATACCACATTTTACACTGACAAAGGAACAAGTGTACAGATAACCATCTGCACATCTCCCCAGGGCTTGTGAAATGACAACTTGAATGTCAAAAAATACCAAAGCGAGCTTTCAACCTGCAGGGACTCCTTAGAACAAGGAGAGGCAAAGGAAGAGTGGGGACAAAGAAATAGGTTTTTGACATTATTATAGATGTACTATGCCATTGATAATGGAAAAGGTCACTGTCGCACAAAATATCTGTTCAGGCCCTGTGGTGTCAGAGAGAAAAAACATAGAAACAAACAAATCAAACCGAGGCTATGAAAGTATTGAAGGTTCAGATCACTGAAAGTACTAGCTTAGAGTTTTTTGGTCATTTTTAGCCGTTGCATATTACTGTTAAAAGTCAATATTTTCAAGGTTTTAAACTAGTACAAATTAGTAAATAAATAGAGATATAGCAATGATGTGATAGTGAAATACTGTTAAAGCAGTATTGGAAAGTATTGTAAACAGAACTTTAAAACTGTATATTTATTTTTAAGATGACCTGCTGGGGTTACTGTACAGTCTATCTATGGGCTAAAATCTAGATTTTTCTAGGCTTTACTGAAAACGCCGATAATATGATTCAGATGTTGTTAATAGCTTCAACATTTGTGATTGCAACTAAGTTTCAAAAGGCTCTTTGTTACTTTACAAAGCTATATTTAACTCCAAATCTGTTAAACTCCATCACAAGTACAGTGCAATCAAGGTACCAACGTCCGTAAAAAGGACCAAGCTTCTTTATTTGCTTCTTTTTATGTGCCAGTGTGAAAAAAAACCTTTTGATAGTACAAAAGATGGGACTGGACAGCTTTGAAACAGAGCGGAGCGAGAGAATCCAGAAGAGGAGTCTGCAGCATCCTAATGAGCCTCTCTGACCTTGACTAAGCGAACGGAGAGATGAGGAAGACACAGAAAGATGGAGGGAGGAGAGGATGGATGGAGCGATAGGATAGATGGATGAGATAAATGATAGATAGAGGAGACTGGACTGGAAGGAGAAGGAGAGATGATGGATAGTCGGAGGGGTGTGATGAAATTGAACATGAACAGGCGTGTGTGTACCTGTTGGTCCAGTGTGTTTGAGGCGCCTGGTCCTTGCTCGGGGCGGGCAGGGCGGGAGTGTGTGGGTGTGCGTGAGGGTGTGCGTGTGCGTGTTGGTGTTGGTGTTGGTGAGAGTGTGCGTGTGCGTGTGAGTGTGTGTTCCCGGGTGGGTTGGAGGAGCCGGAGGAGCCCTGTGAGGGAGAGTAGTCGGAGTAGGTGGCTGAGGAGCCGCTGTGGTTCAGACAGTGGAGCTTATCCACCTCCTCATCTGTAGACTCTGGACGGAGACACAGAGACAGACAGGGAAAAATGTCAAATCCTTTTCACTCTGATAGCCCTCTTTCACAGAGAGAGTGCCCTTTTCTGAAAAAATAACCACTTGTCTGTATCTTATACACCTGGATTTGATTGATTTAATCAAATCCTTATCATAACAACCATGTCAAATGAAGATATCGCTTGCATTGATAGTGATCTACGAATATGCTAGGTCAGTAGTTTCTGTGATCAGCTGATTTCTTAACATATGTGATAATCTCAGGAAAATATACAGACATGGCTAATTTCCATTTTCATTTAATAAAATATGCTCAACATCTTATTGATTTTGTGTTTAAATGGGATGAACTAGACCCGATGGGTTTTTGCTACCTCTACCTATTAGCTTAATCCTTAGCCTGTGGCCACGTGTTGCCTTTAAAAAGTGAAATCAGTGAAATTGGAACCCCACCAATTTTTATAAAAATTATAGTAATTAAACCATGTGTTGAGCAAAAATGTGCAACATGAATTATTTCCAAATGAAAATATATATTAGCTATATATATATATATGTTTGTGTATCCAAGCACATTTTTCAGACTTTTCTATTTAAAAAAAAAGAAACTTTTATTGGTAAATCAAAGACAAAATAATAATATAAGGGATTTTTGTTTTTGTTCTTGTGTGTAAGTCTTAGGTCAAGAGGGCAACAGGAAAAGGGTTGTAAAGTAAACCTATGGCAGAGTTAATAAATGATCCTCACAAGGAAAACAAACAGAACAAATTATTTCACAATTTTATTCTTATGGAAAAAAACAAACCCTTTATTAGGACAAAGCAATTCTCCTAAATTCCAGCTCACTATTCGGATGTTGAAACTTTTAACTTGGAGATCAAAAGCTAATGAGAGTTACAACAGCATCAGAAAGTGTATCCAGAATGATGTTTAGGCTGAATTGCATTGAATCCTGTATATGGTATGTGACTGACGCAGAGAAATCTAATTTCTTTCTTGTCTATGGTTTCTTAACCCAGATTCCTGTAGCGCTCTCATATGTGTGGACAATATTGAGTCCACTGCACATGGCCTGGTTAGAAGAAAAATGGGTTTGACAGTTAAAATCTTTATTAACCCACACTAGTTCTATCTAATTCAAGAACGCATCATCATGACTCAAAAACCTATTAAGATCCTGACCAACCAAACAAAAGATAGCTTCTTATTAACTTTACCACAAGATCCTTCAATAGGAATGTACAGACAAGCTGATTGAGTTTGAATCACTTCACAGAAAGCTCCCTAACAAAGGGGCACAACGGAGCACTGAATTACACAGAGCTACAGTTTGTCACAGAGAACAGATAACGATGGGTTACGTATTGTAACCCTAGTTATATAAGCACAGGCGGAGCCCTCTACTGGACTCTATGGGTACTACCCCTTGACCTTACTATGCGAGCGTTCACCTACTGAGATATCTTTAAACGTAGCCGGCCCTCGGGGCGGGCCTACCTGAGTGTGCGCGCAAGCCCACCCTATATAAGGCGGCCTCGCCTCCTGACTGTCATCCTACACCCTCTTCAGCGAGCAGCATAGGACAGACAGGGCCCCTAGTAGAGGGCTCCGCCTGTGCTTATATAACTAGGGTTACAATACGTAACCCATCATTATATCTCACAGGCTCCGCCCTCTACTGGACTCTATGGGTACAGTGGGTGGAGCCCTGATGGATACACGCCCTGTCGTCCAACAACCCATGACACTGCCCCTGATCGGCTTTTTGGTTAGCAGCCACTGCACCGCAACCTCTCCTCCCTCGGCCATGACCGTGGAGGAGTCGGGGCCGCAGTTTACTTGGCTGATAGAACATACTCAGACACGCTTACCTCGTGAAGAGTGTGCATGGAAAATAGGGAGGAAGACTCCCAGGCAGAGGAGATGCAGTTTAGCCTCCCTGTCCCCAATATGGGGTGGAAGACTAAAGCCGCCCAGCTGTATAGCCCTTGACCTGAACGAACTCCTTAAGTTCTTGGGAACAAAGGAGGGGTTCGGCCTGAGTGTCGGCCTGAGTGTCGCCCCGCTACGGTCACCCCGGATCCACAGGCAACTCGGGTGTACCGACAGAGCGGTCAGTTCGGACACTCTCTTGGCCGAAGTCAGGGCCAGCAGCAACGCTGTTTTTAATGACAGCGCCTTCAGGGAGGAGAGCTCCAGAGGCTCAAATGGTTCTGTGACCAGAGCCTCGAGCACCAACGGCAGGTCCCATTGCGGGGCGGAGGCATACACTACTGGGTGCTGCCTCCTGACCCCCTGCAAAAACCGCGACATAAGCGGCTGACTGAAGGCTGACCTGCCGCCAAATCCCTCATGACAGGATGAAATGGCTGCTGCATACACTTTAACTGTGGAATAAGCAAACCCTCTGTCCACCAGTAACTGTAAGTAGGACAGAATAGAGCCCAGCGTACAAGATAAGGGCTCTAGACTTCCCTCTTCACACCATCGCTGGAATCCCAACCACTTTGGCCTGTAACAGGCTGTGGTGGATCCTGCTCTTGCTGCCTGGATAGTCTGGATAACTTCGTCAGACAATCCCCCCTGTCTCAGCCTGTCCCTCTCAGGAGCCAAGCCTGGAGAGATTGGCCCAGAGAGGGTAACGCCCCTATTACTGGCCCACCATCATCTGTGTCACCTCCGCGAACCACGGTGCCACGCGGCGGTCTGGGGCCACTAGGATGACTGACAGATGTTCTCGTCTCACCCTCTCCAGGAGGGGGAGAATGAGGCGCAGCGGTGGAAAGGCGTAGAGCAGCTTTCTTGGCCATGGCTCGTGTGCAAACGCGTCCACCCCCAAGGGCGGATTGTCCCGCCTTGCCATGGAAAACTACAGAGTACAGTGGCTGTTTCGCCGGTTGGCGAACAAGTCCTCCTCCGCTCTCCCGAACCGGGCTCAGATCTGCTTCACCACCTCCGGGTGAAGCACCCACTCGTCTGGCAGGGGCCCGCCTCTTGACATGAGGTCGGCTCCCCCGTTCTCCAATCTCTGAGGCCCATAACCACAGGTTCTCTGCTGTGGTCAACAAGGCGGCGGAGCGGACTCCGCCCTGCCTGTTGATGTACGCCACTGTGGTGCGGTTGTCGCTACTCACCAGCACATGTTTGCCCTGTATTACGGGTTTGTGCTGGAGGACCAACCCTACTGCCCGCAGCTCTAGGAGGTTGCTGTGTTGAGTCTCAATCAGAGCCCAGCGACCACCTATAGCTCTCTCTAGGCAGGTCCCCCCCATCCTGTCACGGATGCGTCTGTGAACACCGTAATGTAGGAGGTCACTCGCCCCAGCGGAGCTCCCCTCCGAAGATGTACTGGGGACCCCCAGTACCGGAGGTTGCCCACCACTGAGGGGGGGATAGTCACCAGACATCGTTTGTGCCTCTTGGGATCTAAACGAAGGCCGGCAAACCACCTTTGCAGGCGGCGCATATGCAGCAACCCCAGCGGCACCACGGAGTGAGCAGCCTCCATGAGACCCAGAGTCTGCATGATGGTCAAAGCTGTCACCGTTGCCCCCTGTCGCAGTCTGCAAACTGCCCGCAGCAGGGACGCCTGTCTGCTTTCTGACAGGGTGGCGTGTAGCCTGCCTGCATCGAGCACCATCCCTAGATACTGCACCTGCTGGTGAGGTATGGGATTGCTCTTCTTCCAATTGACCGCAAAACCCAACTTGGTTAGGTGTAGGATCAATTGGGCTGTGTGAAACATTGCCCATTCCCTGGACCGGGCCATGACTATGAGGTCGTTCAGATAAAAGAAAACCCTCATGCCATGGCCACACATTTGATGAACGTGCGTGGGGATAGGGATTAGCCAAACGGCAGTCTGTTGTGCTCGTAGGCTATCCCCTGGAAGGCAAAACGCAAATACTTTCTGTGTCTTGGAACAATTTCTACATGAAAGTAAGCGTCCTTCAGGTCGATGGTTGTAAACCAGTCGCCCGGCTGCACCAGCCCCAGTAACTGTTTCACAGTTAACATCTGGAATTTCTTGCAGGCGATGTGCCGATTTAGGCTGCGGAGATCTAGGATGGGTCTGAATTCTCCTGTCTTCTTGGGAACCAGGAAGTACAAAGAATAAAGCCCCTTCTCCCTGTGCTGGGGGTGCACAACAGACACCACTTGTTTTTGTAACAGGGTCTGAATCTCTGCTGAAAGAAAACCTATCACCTCCTGAGATGGTAGATTTGTCTCTTTTACGCCGTTGAACAGAGGAGGGATGCTGCAAAACTGAAGTGTATAACCCCATTTCAGCGTCCTGTCCATCCACTCTGTTAGTATCCAGCTGTGCTTCCATTCCACATAACATTGTGTTAGGGGATGAGCAATCCGCTGTGGAGCCACAGCTAGGAAGCTGCCGAATTCCCCATGAAAGGAAGTTGCGCCGGGGAAGCCGGGCCGTAAAACCCCTGACGGAGGCGGCTCACCGGCTTTGGCGGTAGTGGTGGGGGGAGCGGTAACCCTACACGCTCCGCCGCGATGGCCATCACCGATGGGAAGTCCTGACGTGCGGACCTGTGTGGCGGCCCGTCCTGGGTGCCGGAACCGGAAGCACCCGACATCGAGGAACCCTCGTCGTCTTCCTCCTCGACGAACGGGGCCGGCCGTAAAAAACGAATGACACCCCCCCAGCCGCATCCTGTTCCTCCATCTCCACCACCTCGAGGTCCACGTGGTCCTCCGGCGACCATGCTCCAGGCGGTGCCTGCGGCTAAGTTGTGGTAGCATCCGGCAGGCATTACAGGAGGGAGACTGCAAGCCGTCCCCAGCGTGTTCAGGCCCCAGACACTCGAAACACAGGCGGTGGAGATCGGCCCCTGCGATTAGGCCGGTGCACGTAGGACAGGGTCGGTGCTCGAGGACTGGTGAGTTTTCCATTCTTTGCTCGATCTTGTTCTCTCTCTTTCGCTCTCTCAGTTGTTTATCCTGCTCGCTGAAGAGAAAAGGATGACAGTCAGGAGGGGGAGGCCGCCTTATATAGGGTGGGCTTGCGAGCGCACTCAGGTAGGCCCGCCCTGAGGGCCAGCTACGTTTAAATATCTCAGTAGGTGAACGCTTGCATAGTAAGGTCAAGGGGTAGTACCCATAGAGTCCAGTAGAGGGCGGAGCCTGTGAGATATAACAAACTGTTTCGTTCAGACGACTGGATTAAAGCAGTCAATTATTCAAAACAAAAACTGATTTTGATAGGGCAGGAAAATTAGCTTTGGGAGCATAATTAAAACTTTAGTGTACCTCTGATGGAACCGAGGCCTTCAGGGCAAAATAAGTAAAAGCTGAACACTTTCAATTCAGATTCACTGTAGAGGTTTATGGTGTTTCCTCCCACTCTGAAATTAATCCGCTTACCACCATGACTAATTAGTGGACACTATTACAACATGCCCCACAGCGCTTCACAATAGACCGCATTAAATGACTTTGTGTGTGTGCACCCATGTGTCTTAACTAATGTGTTTGAGCCTTTGTGTGTTTCTTTTTTACATTAAACCATCTCATACAGTACCTTTCTTGTCCTTCCCCAGCAGCACCACCTTTGGTTTGTACATAGGGGGCTCCACCAGGGTGGGCCTCATATCAGAGATACGGATGTCGTTGGGAGAGCCGCCCATAGAGTCCTGCAGAGAAACAAAACACACAGGGTCACATCAGGTAGCTACAGCACAGACACAAACACAGCCCACTTAGGGGTTAGAATCACCCAAATAAAATATTGAAGGTAACACATTTTCAACCTCATAAATAATATAACCATGAAACTTTAGCCTGTTTATATCTGTAAAGCTGGTGTAGTGGAAAGCTTTAAATAATCTAAACCACCGTAGAGGTCACCAGATGTGCTTTGAAATGGAAAACTTGGTCCCAGTTTAGTTGTCATTTGCAAAAACACAAGGAAGGACACAAATGCACACATACACAAACTTTGACAGAGATATATTGTTGATGTTTACATGTAACACAATCTAGTACTCTGATCCACGTAGCATCCTACCACTTAACGTTTAATATTTTGTTTAGGTATACAATTTTTCTCATTGTCCGGGTAAATGTAAATCACCTGACATGAAACACAAAAACATGAATATGGATTTACAAGGTGAAATAAATATGGTATCATTGTCCCAAGGGTGAAAAAACACCAAATTGAGCACAAAGCCAAAACTATATTGACATGTGCTGTGTGAGTTTGTGCGTATATGTGTGTATGTGTGTGTGTGTGTGTGTGTGTGTGTGTGTGTGTGTGTGTGTGTGTGTGTGTGTGTGTGTGTGTGTGTGTGTGTGTGTGCGTGCGTGCGTGCGTGTGTGTGTTTGTGTGTGTTTAGCACTCTAGGTGACAAACCTCAGAGCTCTCTGTCAGGTCCTCTTTGTCCTTCCTCTTAGGAATGTCAATGCCAGAGTTATGCATTGATCCCTGATCCATTAGCTGAGACTGAGAGAAGTCCTGCATCTCTCTGTCTATCACCTGGAACACACACACACACACCACATCATTTGTGCTGCTCTTATACCTTTATGATCACAGGTATCAATCCTACAGACACACTGATGTATTGTATGGTGTGGTATAGTGATGTATTTTTGTGTGTGATACAAACAATATTCATTTTTCAGGATATGCATGAGAAATCATAATATTTTTTACATATAACGGGAAAAAAGACAAAACAAAACCTGTGAGGCTTGGAGTGTGTGTTTCCTACCTCTTTGGGAGGAAGGGGCCACGGTGGTTCATACTCTTTGCTGAGGTGTGTGTGTTCCATGTTGGTTCCTGCCGATGTGGCAGTGCCTGTGCTCAGCTGGTGCTGATGCTGGTGCTGGAGTTGGTGCTGATGCTGGTGTTGGTGCCCATGCCCGCCGTGTACACTTTTACCCACTAGGCTTTGCACTGACTTGACCATGTTCTTGAGGTCCTCAGGGTAAGGTGTCGGGTAGCGCTTAAGGTTAATCTCCACCTACACACAAAAAAGTTAATATGTTAGGAAACACAGGCAAAATGACACAAAAACACGCAGCAAGCGTTTAGTAGATATGGTAGAAAATAAGTGTCTGTGAAACGTCAAAACATTTAAAATAAGACATAAATTCTTGTTGATTGTTATGTTGTGGTAGTTTTTTAAATGTGTCATACTCACATTACGTTACTGACAGATCAATAATGTTTCATACACATACTAAGCTTCTTTAAGTAGGCACTAAACTGAGCATTTCAGACAGAGGGTGAACACATGTATATTCAGACGGACAGTATGAGTAAAATAATAGTTTTTTTGTAACCTTAAAGGTAGGGTAGGTAAGTTTGAGAAACCGGCTCGAGATCGCTAGAATTTGAAAATACACAACCGGAGAAAATCTGCCACTTCCTTACAGAGCCCCTCCTCCAACACACACGAACGCGCACATGACCAATGAGGGCACGAGATAAGTTTGTGCACAGATGGAAGGCTGACAGGCAGGTAGGCCATCCAGTTATTTTAGCCGGGCCGGCTAAAATGATTGGTCGTACTTTTTACAGTACTACAGCTTCCACGATGACATTTTTTTATGGATTTTTTGTCAAAGCACTTAAGATATTCATTGCTATCGGGATGTTAAGAGCATTCCATGGAATATAACAAAAAGTGTATCTCGAGCCGGTTTCTCAAACGTACCTACCCTACCTTTAAGGCATGTAAAAATGTCAGGTATTAACTTTGAAATTAGATTTATATTGTCCCAATTAGGAACAGATATTTTAGTTATGTATATTTTTGAGTCAAATTCCTTGTATATGCACACATACTTTGTGTCTGATTCTGATTATACAAACATTTGAACTTTGGCACAAAGATTGTGCCTTTCATGTATTACAAATGGCTCTAAATACTATAAGATCCATAAGCTTTAGTGTTGGAAATATGAGATGTAGCATCAGAGATAAAGAAACACCACAGTTGCCAAATTGATCCAAATCTATTTAAGAATCTGAGAGTGAATTAATAAAACAGTTGGGGGTGCTCCAGCTGCCAGCCGGTTAACGCTGGCTTTGCAGAACTTGAATATAAAGCCCTGATGCCTCATGTAACCCCCCCTGCTCAGATACTTCACAGAGAGAAAGACGGTCAGACAGACAGAAACACAGAGAAAGAGAGCTGACCTTGACCTTCCCAGAGTTGTCTTCCTCTTCTTTCTTGTCCTCAAAGTCAAAGGCCACAGTCATCCTCTGCTGCCTCTGCTCCTCCCACAGGATGGGATTAAAGCTGTCACTGTCCGACTGGTAATCTGGAAGCACGGCCAAAAACACACACCAAGGACAGGGTTAAAACTGTTGTCAAACATGTGTTTGCAGATTGTTAGACACACACTTACTGTACACACAATTACTTCCACATTCAGCTCGAACGTATATTTACAAACCCACAAATCACACACATTTAGGCCCATAGCTTCAGAGCACATGCTGCAATGTATTATTGTTGTAATATTGCTAGTGTGATAAAAACAAATCATTCTCTGGCCTTTTGTTTCATGTCTATCCACACACATAGACATACAGACACACAGTTTGTACCCTCATCGTGTCGCGGTTGCTGAGGAAACATGTAGTTGGTCAAAACCTTCTGTTTGGTTTCAGGGTGGGCTTCTGTCTGCAGCGGGATCAGAGCCTTGGACTGCAAACACAGACACACACAGAAGTAGAATTTACCACTTTACCTAATATTCATAAAGGGGAGACACAAATTAGAATTGTGTATTCAATGAGTTGAATAAATTGTCAAATGCCTCTTTCATTTGCATGATCGCCTCATAAAACACATTGACTGACATCGATTAAAGTAGTAATGTGATGTAAAATAATATATTATCGCATATATATATATAGCAAATCAAACTACATTAATGCATTGCTGTTTTGGTATATGAATGAAAGAAAACCATTCATTAAACTTTAACACATTCTGCTGGTTCATTCGAATAAAAAAGTGCAAATGACATTGCTTAAAGTGAGTTTCTGTTGCAACATTTGCATACTTGAGTGCCAATTTTAAGCAAAAGACTGAACAAACTTTCCTTAATTGCATTTGAATTTCAAATGTTGTTATTTTTAGAGCTGTTTAAAAAAGATAGACTTAGATTTCTAATTATCTGACTTTGATGTAACTTTAAATGTCATATGAAATGTTAATATTCATAGTAGTTATAACAAAATAATATAGAACAATAACGCTTCATACTTAATGCACACCACTGACTGCATCATACAGTAGAGTGAGATTGTTATCGGCAGTATTTCTGCGTACATTTAAATGCAGTAAATTATTTAATAAAGCACGTCATCAACTCATCATTGGGCCTCAGAAAACTAAACATGGCCGGGCAAAAATAAAGATAAAGGGAACAGTAAAGATCATTCTGCCAAAGGTAATACCCAACCCTTCCTGCAGATGTTTAACTTAAAATGTTTTCCTTGGAGATAAAGGAATAATGCACTTGCAACAGAGGAAGGAGACATTGGGTTTGCATCACAGGCAACAGCAGGCGTTTATAATCAATATGATAAAACGGAAGAATTCATAGATGAATACCTCTTACAAATAGTCTGAGTCCACTTAGGGCCTGGTTAACTTATATAAAAACTGAAGCTGTGTGTGTTTGTGCTGCATACTGTACTTGTTAGCATGTACACTCTCTCCTGGTGAAATGATGAGGAGGAGATACCTGATTGTCAGAGAGCCAGAGAGCTGCCAGGTCCTTCAGCTTGGTAAAGGTAAACGGTAGATTCTTTAACCTTAGAGAGAGACACAGAAAAGGAGGGAGGGCGGGCGGGGGGAGAAAGAAAAGAGAGATGTTTCTTGTGCCCACGCACTGTACAGCCTGCAGAGCACGTAACCATGGCAACACACTCACCATCCCCATGGAAACTGCAGGCCGTGAGAAGAGCTACATAATCAAAACGACCATTGAGAAAATGTTGTGTGTGTGTGTGTGTGTGTGTGTGTGTGTGTGTGTGTGTGTGTGTGTGTGTGTGTGTACCTGTTATCACTCAGGTTAAGGACTCTTAGTTTAGTCATCTGTCCAATCTCATCAGGAAGAAACTCCAGTTTGTTGGAACGCATCGACATTACCGTCACGTTCTTACAGTTACCGATCTGAGACACACACACACACACACACACACACACACACACACACACACACACACACACACACACACACACACACACACACACACACACACACACACACACACACACACACACACACACACACACACACACACACACACACACACACACACACTAACTATCAGATCACAATACGATTAAGTCTATTACTGAATACACACCTTAGAACAAGCAACATTACATTTACAGTTTTAAGTACTAGAGATGTACTGGATCAATGGTTGGGTCTTTAAAATGTCTGAACATCTGTAAAAGTAGCAAACTAAATAGAATCTTTAATTGCCATTTGACCAACTGTAGAGAATCACATAAATACTTAAATTATGTTCATATAAATAAATAAAAAACAGCACATTTCCATAATTGATACTCTCTTTCGTGCACTGAGGATGTGTAAAGGTTCATTGTACAGTATGTTGATTCCTCCTACCTCCCGGGGCAGCTCTATGAGGAAGTTCTCGTCAGCAGCAAACGTCCTCAGGTTGTGCAGGTAGCCGATAGTGGGAGGCAACGACTCCAACTCATTACAACTACAGTCAAACTCCTCCAAAAGAGACAGACTGGAGGAAAGGAACAGAGGCAGAGAGGAAGAGATACAGAGAAAATGACAGAGAAAAGAACATTATTCTGCAATATCTCAGCTGAAACCTTACACGACTTACTCAGGTATTATTAGATAAGGATAGTACTACTCTATTTTTTCATATTTCCAACAAATCCTGTGAAAAGACTTAACCAAGAATGGATTCATCCAACTGTCAAGTATTGTCCGTGTAGATAAAGCCAGAGTCCAAAAGTCATTGAAAACACATCAATGAGCCACAAGTTGCACTGAATCAAATGTTCCTTTATGAGATATTCCCACAAACACCAGCCTGTGGTGTAAAATATTGAAAATATATCTATATCTGTTAGAGGAAACTTCAGACCTTTTATATAATAATAAGATTAAAAGCAGGTCTTTAGTATGAGTTAATGGGCTAAGGACTACAGACAGGATATTGAGAGAAGGACTTACACATTGTTGGTTTGTTTCATTTTGTGGGATTTGTTGACAATAAGAAACATTGAGAATGAATCCAATCACATCCTGTTACATGTCATGATACATAAAAGCTTTAAATTAGAAGGAGAGAGTGTTGGGAGAAGGAAAAGATCATCCGTTGAAGAATAGGTTAATAAATTGCGTCACAACCAACCAAATCCATCTTTGTCACTTGTAATTCGGTCTGAATTGTTGACCCCCTATAATTCCCCCCCCCCCCCAATTTATCACCTATTGATGTCTAAAATTCTTCAACATGGATCTCAACTTCTTCACACAACCAAGATTCACAGTAACATCAGCGGCAGGCCCTCTACAGGACCCCCTGACCCCCCCTTGACTGCCATCAGTGGCCTAGCAGCCCGCTAACAGCAGGCTAATGCTAATGAGACAACACTTTTACATTAATGTACTGTCACTGTTAACATTGCATTAGTCTGCCATTATTATCCCCAGTGGACCTGGACCATCTGGGCCACCATACGGGCCGACGGGAGAGAGGGGGGGGGGAGGTTCACATCCTACTTTAAGATGTATGCCTTGTTTATTATGTTCTCCTCAGCATTGTTTGTATTCCTACCTCAAATAATGAAAATGCCTCCTGCTACTCCCACAAAAACAAACAGCTAAGTGTGCCAAATATAATATTTAATTTGGCTACTATCTGACCCCAAGCTCTTTAAATCTACCCATTAGGAAACATAGTTGCTCAGTGGGTTGTCACAAGGTCACTTTTAGACACAATAATTGAATATCCTTCTTTCTGTAGGATAAATGCTTTTGTTTAGGTTTTCACAAGGTGATAGGGTTACTCAGCAAGAAACTTACAGTCATACTTCACCCCCAAAATGACCATGGGATGTATATAAATTATTCATCCTGTGTTACCCTTACATTTGTGAAGAAAACTCGAGTTTTTCTCGCATACCTCCATGGTGATCAAAGTATCCATGAACTTAGGTAAAGCGGGGCTGCATTCAAAAACAGCAAATCTATATGAAAACATTCAGCTGCAACTTCACATCCAAATCCAGGTCTAATGTATCTAGTCAAATGCTCTCTACTTCCAAAGCACATGCATTTCTGCTAATATCTTTGAATTTATAAGCTGAGACTTTTTGTTAGTATTTAAGCAGTTTTGCTGTTGTTGAACATGGACCCCACTTACTTGAATCAATAAAGAATGCTCTCAGTCTTTGATTCTATGTTCACTGTGGAGGCATGCGGGACGTTTTCTTCAGGAATTCATGGTAATACAGGGTTAATCGTTTGTACAGAAAGGGTTATTTTGGGGGTAAAGTAAAACGCAGCCTGAACACTAAAGGTAACATCTGGTTAAAGGATTCAGCTCATGTAATGCATTACAGTGAACTCATAGAGAGGAGCCTACAGTAGTTACCTGGTGTAAAAAATATTCTTGCCCATTTTGAAGCTGTGAGTAATAACCTTAAAACATAATTGAATATGTAACTGCACTGCTTATTGGATTATATATAATCCACAATGGGCTGTACATCAATACAGACGAGTAGAGAAATATGCTGATTCAGCTCTGTGTATATAAAGCATACACAGTAAATACCCCGCTGTACTAACGCAGATAGAATACAATGTAGAGTTGGTTGAAGTACAGGCACAGGTACAATTATCACATGTATCATTAATAAGCAACACTTAGGAGTAAGAAGATGATCATTTGCAGGTGTTTCTGGTTGAATCAGAGGAGAAGCAATGGATCTACAGAACTACTTATTGAGGCTGAAACCTGGGATTTGTTCAGGAAGACAAAATGTTTTCAGAGCGGTCAGATACAAAAGTGTTTTTGGGAGTTTCATTTAAATCAATGAATGTAAAATAGTCGTACAAATATAATCCATCACAGATCATCTTATTCACACAATGTTCCAGGAGACTACTCAAACAGCAAGAAGGAACAGAAACAATTGACTCCAATTAAATTCATATTTATCCTGCTTTAGACTTTGCTGTCTTTCTCCCAATCTCTTAAGAAAACAGCAAAAAGACTCAATGAAAATACTTCTGTTTAAAATTATTAAAAGGTTGTCTTTCAAAAGCAATTTGAATCTGAACTGTGATGGGTTATAATAAGAATTATTATCATGAAATTACTGTAATAATTTTACATGCAATCATTTGTGTCTCCAATCCATATTTAATTAGAAAATTAAGATGTTATTCAAATGTTACGTCCACATTTTGATTTCTTTTTTTTCAATTTTGCATGTCATTTGGATAAATTTGAAATGCTTCCCACAGCCCCAGCTAGTTTTGAGCGTGTCTGTTTGTATTTGTAACACAGCTGAACATCTATCTGTCTCTGAATGCACCCCTGGATCCAGTAGGCTAATGTTACTCACCCGTGCTTGGGCTTCGGACTAATGCCACGGCAACGCAGCAAACACAACACACAGAACGGCCCAATCATGAGCCAGCATAACAACACAGCAGCTAACAGTAGTCAACAACAACCCACCAAAGATAATCCTGCTGAAAGAAATCTGACAAAGCATTGTTCATTATCTGTTTTCTTTTAGAGCATGTGTGTGTTTGTGTGCATGTGTGTGTGTTTCTTACCTCCCGATGGTGTTAGGCAGTGAGGTCAGCTGGTTGTCATCTACCTTCAATGTTGTCAGCTTCTTCAACATTCCTACACAATATACAAACACACATAAAAATCACAATGACACACAAACGTCATCTCGTAAATATTAGACAGAGCTCTGAAACGATTGACTGTAAAAAGTGGATTTAATTACAAAGTTGGCACCATTCTTATTTTTATAAGACATCCGATGACATTTCTAAAACCAACAAAGATTTGGTCCTACTTCTGAGGATCTCTTTGTAGCCACTGTGTGATATAGCTTATTCATCTTTTTATTAAACTCCAATGCTGTCTAAAAACAGCCACCAATGAGCCACATATTTGCAGTGGGTGCCATTTCCTTCATTACAAGAAACACTATAGTTTATTTTGAGTCAATCCCACATCCTGCTGCCATAAATATTCCCCAGGCAGCGCAATAAAATGCATATTAATCAAGGTCTAAAAATAGTCCCAAACAAATGCAAAATGTATTCCTGTTGGAGAAGCATTTGCTGAAACTACCCTGGCCAGCTGTTCTAGTATATTACTGAAAATTAAAAACCTGATTTTAAAGATTTTAACCTTCAGGAATCACTGGGCGTGGGATATCTTTCCATGTGATTTATTGCTAATTAGAAAAATATAGAATAAATCCAGTTGTGTCTTATGTTATCTGTGCTACGTCACTATTACAGCTAAACAGTGTCTGTACAAACAAACTGACTTTGACTTGACAACTCTTACTTATGATATGTAAACCACAGTCCTGTGCTGCTCCCATTCAGGAGATACACAGGTGTGAATTTAAATGCGTTGCTACAGCATCATCAGCTTGAGTGTTTGTGTGGGTATGAGTGTATGTGTGTGTGTACCTATAGAGTCAGGGAGCTGCTGCAGCATGTTGGAGGACAGTAACAGGTCTTCTAAGGCTTCGCAGCCGGAGATATCCGTGTCCAACGACTCGATGCGATTCTTAGCTAAGTCAAAGTACCGCAACTGACGGAGTTTTCCTATCGCCTGCAGCCGGTAGGGGGAGAGAAAGAAAAGAGAGCGTCATTTCATATAAAAAGTAATTCCATAGTTCCTTTTTATCACTGCAAAAGGGTCTGTGTGCTTACCCCTGGTATACACTGTAGAGAGTTGTTATCCAGCCACAGCTCTTTTAGGTTGTGGATCTGTTCCAACACCTCCGGCTAACAAGTCAAACAGAGGAAACCATATCAGCATGTACAGAGCACATGAGCAACAACGAATATGCAGATATGCTGCAATTTATATAAAACAACTGTATAATTCAGTCAAATCATAGGACACCTTCTGTGAACATATACAGATCCAAATAATAACTGTAATGAATCTCCAGATCTTTGGCATAAATAGAGAACAATCAAAAAAAGCAGACTTCCTGCTTGACCCTGATGCAATATCCAAACCTTTCTACTTCTATCATGTCGCTCGGTCCCATTTCAGTGTGCAACTAAAGGACAGTACGCTGACCTTGCTCCTGCCTCACTGAGACAGTCTACTGAGGATTCACCATATGTCGTATTTGGTCTTTAAATATGAACTTTCAGGGCAGAGGCTCCCAAAATAGGACAAAGCATCTGTGTTCGGGTTCTTGTTCTCTTTACAAATAAACATAGTTCAACTGGTAAACGTCTACAGAGGAGTTCAGATTTGAGCTTTCTGTGATCATGTAGGACAATCTCAATGTACAACATATTACACATTTAAACACTTAAAGGTGGGGTAGGTAAGTTTGAGAAACCGGCTCGAGATACACTTTTTGTTATATTCCATGGAATGCTCTTAACATCCCGATAGCAATGAATATCTTAAGTGCTTTGACAACAAATCCATTCAAAAATTTCATCTGTGAAAGCCTTATTACTGTAAAAAGCACGACCAATCATTTTAGCCGGCCCGGCTAAAATAACTGGATGGCCTACCTGCCTGTCAGCCTTCCATCTGTGCACAGACTTATCTCGTGCCCTCATTGGTCATGTGCGCGTTCGTGTGTGTTGGAGGAGGGGCTCTGTAAGGAAGTGGCAGATTTTCTCCGGGTGTGCATTTTCAAATTCAAGCGGACTCGAGCTGGTTTCTCCAAAATTACCTACCCCACCTTTAAGCTATGCTGCTTGTCAGTCTCACCATCTCAGTGAATTCATTGCTACCCAGATCCAACCTCTCCAACTGTGTCAGTCTGTGGATGGACCTGAGAAGAGAGAATACATACATAAAAGTGCATTGTGACTTACTAAATGTATATATATATTTGTTCTTCCCACCTAACCACAAAGCCAATATACTGTACACTAAAATAATATTTGTTTTTGTTATAAATGTATTTATATTTTTTTCAAGTTTGAATTATTATCCTTCAAAATGTGTCTTGTTTCTAGTTCTTATGTTTGCTTCTATTGCAATTCTGATAATTAATTATGTTAGCATTTCTCATGTCACACCCCCATTTTACTCACTCACAAATACAGCCTTTAAATGTTAAAATCACCTCAACATTTAGTTTAATTAAAATCTAGCATCGAGATTGTTGCTATTGCAAATCTGACATTGACTATGCATGCCGTTTCTTTATTTATAGACAAAAACTAAACGAGTTTTCCAAATTGCTGCAGGTTAACCATATTCTTAGTTGAAAGGCAAGGGGCATTGTGGACTGGTAGTTGTGAAGTAGTAATTGCAGCCACATTGTCATTATCGCTTAACAAAATATAATGTAATTGAAATCACTGCTACTCTACAAGGGTTATCTTGTTAAGTAAAAAGGTTCTCTCTCTTAGTACAGTAATCATTTAAAACAGTTAGAAGAGATACATTACGGTTTGGCTTTATCAGTATTCATGACCACCTGCCACAGATCATTATAGTTTTAATCCGGACACCTGGGAAAGCAAGCATCATCCCGCTAATATCATGAAGCATCTGTGTGTGTGTGTGTGTGTGTGTGTGTGTGTGTGTGTGTGTGTGTGTGTGTGTGTGTGTGTGTGTGTGTGTGTGTGTGTGTGTGTGTGTGTGTGTGTGTGTTTGTATGTGCGCAGCTGTACATGATAATGAATGTGTCTTCCCCGTATTTGTTTCTTTCTAACACACACAAACACTGTGTTGTGTTTTCTTACTTTGGCATGGTTTTCAGGTGGTTCTCTCTAAGCTCCAGGATCCGTAGTTTTGAAAGTCTGAAAGACAGAAGTCACATGAAACAAGACTAATTTTACTGTTTGTTATTAAGTTATTCAAATCACTTGTTTAAAACATATGATGATCTGCTTTTTTGTTGTTGTTAAAGAACAAATAATTATGAGCAGAACAAACCATTTCAAGACTTACACACCTATATATGCTCATTTTTAACATATATAATCTTTACAATAGAAACTAGTGGCAGTAGGTTAGAGACTAAAGTGCCTGAAATATGTAAAACACCCAATCCAGCACAGTCACAACCAACCACACATGAACAATTACATGCATCACTTTACCTGCCAAAGTTAGCGGGCAGATACTCCAAGAAGGCATCGTTTAAGAAGAGCTGGGTCAGATTCAGGAGCTGCGTAAAACCATCTGGGAGTCTGGAAGAGAGGGAAATGACCAGTCAGAAACACAGTAAGAAATATGAGAAAGAGAAGAACAAGTTGTGTTTCCTTGAAGTGCCAACATTGATTTAAACATCTTTCTATAACAATGCATCGACTCATCTTATGCTCATCTCACATGCACGCACACAGGCTTCATGGACATTACACCGCAGTAACTAGCAGCTGATGCTCCAATAGTGAACATCATCTGCATTTTATTGTAGCAATTATATATTCTATAGTTCAGTCAAAGCTGAGCCCAAAGGATGGTTGTATGGTAGTCTAAGGTTGGTGGATGCAGTTAACAGCTATATGAAGGGCCAAAAAATATCAACAATACTGTCCGTCTCTGGACAAAAAAAGTTTCAACGGCTGAATACATCAAACAGTCCTGAGCGGAATCCAGGTCCTCTCAAACTGGTTGATAAAATTGGTCCTAACAACAGAACGTGGTGCACCAATTGGTCTCCATCAATACATATACATGGTGATGGAGTCAGGGTTTTATCTGACTTTGTTATCCAGAAGCAGATCAATTAGCTTCTTCAGTTTTTATGTTAGTGAAGATTTTTGTCTATCTTTCAAAACTGAACTTTGTGAAATAGATTTTAACTCGTGCTGCCATCAAACTAGAGACTTCCATTGATAGGATTAAGATGTTGAAGATGTTTCTAGATGATGTGCGTTGGTGTCTTACTTGGTGATAGGGTTGACACTGGCCTCCACCACAGACAGGCCTTTACAGCATTTTATATTGTCGGGAAACTCCTGGATACCTGTGACACAGTGACACAGAGATGGAAGAGTAAAATGTTACTTATTTCGACTTTTTGTTGAGGGAATCACTAGAAAGACATGTAATTGTTATCCACAGTGAGTTTTGTGAATGTTTATACAATGTCAAGCTTTGTCATATAAAATAGAATCATATTGAATTGAGAATATTGTGATTACGAGTCTTTGGAGTCAAATTGCTGTTAACCAACATTTGAATTGCTGTTCAAATCGATGCCTAAGAGTTAGCAGTAATTTTTTTTTAATATTCAGGTTTGTTCTTCATCTGAGGAATATTACCGTTTTTACTGATGTCTAGCTCCTTGAGGTTGACCAAGCTGGCGATGGTGGTGGGCAGGTTGGAGAGGTCGTTGTCCGGCATACTCAGCTTCTTCAAGGCCTGGCAGTTAAAGAGTTGCTGTGGAAATAAAGAGAGGAATACATAATTATTATAGTCAATTGACAATATCACAAGGACCTTTAGTAGAGGGTACGAAAGGAAAGAGAGACAAGAAGTCAGCTGGAGGCACGCAGCGCTTAATGTTGTAGAAAAGCAGTGCCATTTCAGCGGCCTTTTCTATGAATAATGCAGAATTAATCTCCTACATACGGTGGCCCCTAGGGAGAAAACACACACTCGAGTGAGAGCAAAAACATTCAGAGCAATGTGGCCTTAATAGACAATTACTGCAAATGCCAAAACATATAAAAGAGTGAAACACATACATAACAAGGAAAGTGCTCGGAATACAGAAAAGTAAACAGTAAATACCAAAGCACACTCAAAAACAAATGCAAAAACATGAAGGAATATGCACTCCAGCTCCAGAAATGCAGTGATAGACCAATTTTTAGAAGGAAGAAATAAAGAGTTTGTTGTAATCATCTTAACTCAACATCTACTTCTATTTTTTTTTTTCGAAAGAGCACTCAACCCTCATTATGCCAACTACTTTACAAAATCACTAATGTCATTTGCATGCTAGCGAGTAGTTTACTCATGAGCAAACATTGTGTAAATAGCATTACTTAGCTTTTGTAGTACTTACTGTAGCTATGCTAACATGACTGTTCAAGAAGTAAGATAATTAACTGAAGTGTACAGACTATCTTCTGATTTACTCAAATTGGCATAATGTCTGTATCCACAGCAAGAACATAAGATGATAATGGCAAACAGCCCATGTGGGCTACTAGTGTATAAAGTCTCAATTCACTATTGCTGTACAGCCAAATACACAAATCTCTTCATTTCCTAGCCTGAGATGATACAATTGTGTAAGCATTGTATTTTATCTTTACACACAGTAGTGTAGTTGGAGGACTCTTCTATAACCACACTCAGTTAGCACAGGTGGAGCATAACTTGCCTCACTTTTGGTTCCCTGAACAGTTTAATTCAATAACATCAATGTTATTATTATTAAAGGTGGTAAATGCTGATGATTTCCTGCGTAGAAGTATAAATTAAACCATTTGTAAGAATGGCAAAACATTTTAAACTTAACAAATAATGAAATGGTTCCTACAGTGAACTTTGGTTCTCTTTTTCTGTGTTTCCGTACATTAACTTAACTAAGAGCTGATCATATAAATCACATGTAAAAACAAGATGAAATGTGCCGAAACACTTCCAGAGTGTGCTGTGTTGTAAGTTGCACCTGTGCCAGTGTAAACATGTAGCACCTTCACCTGCGACGTGTCACTCAGAGTGTGATTTGAGGTGTACTGTACCATAACATCCAATTATCTACTGATTTGCACTTTGTAATATCTAAACTCCTTACAATTCAAGCAAAGATAAGCTCACTCACATTCATTCCTGCCAGCAATTTCCAAGACCTTATACAAAGAAAGTGAACCTACTGTATGCAGACATTTGAAGAGTTTATTTTAACTACATGTGAATCACAAACTGCCATAAATAAAGTGCTGCTTTATGGACATATAATTTTAAATGATACACTTTTATGTATTTTATAACCTGTTTAGATGTTCACTATATAATCTTTGTCACATCCTACTGTCACTGTTCAGACTGGCTCTGTGTCATGGGTCAGGCCAGGCCAGGACACTTTGAGACACAATCACTTACTCACACACACTTAAGGAGCTCTTCAAGTCACTATTTTATAAAGGCCAATCACTCGTGGAAGCTCTTAGCACACACATAAACATACAGATGCGCATAATCAAGCCTTTTCCTGTCAGCTGAATGCAGGTTTGGCTTGACTCAGTCTCCTTTCATGCAAGTTATATTAAGACATATATTTAGACATCGCTGTCATTTAAACCAGGACAGGTCATCAATAAAAACGAGACAGCGGTGCCCTCCTATAAACAGCACCTGTTATTCTCCTTGAAATATCGGAAGGGCATTTTGTCTCATTACTGCAACGTGTTTTTTTTTTATGTCTCTGGTGGCTTAAGATGCCTCTCGCCGATGTCTATTATGTGATGATGTTTGAAGTACTGTGTATAAACATGCCAAGAAAAGAATATTGCTGATCTCAGTCTCAAGACTCTCAAGAAATGGCAATGTCGATAAGTTAATTGATTTTCAAGAAACTTTCATGTACAGCCTTTTCTATTCAATGGATTGAATAGAAAAGTTGTGCAGTCATTATTCACAGAACAAAAATCGTTATGACTTAGTCTGCTGATGATAGTATGGAAACACTAATATAAGGATTCACTTCAGAACATTGAGTATACCTGAAGATGAAAACAATGATGCAAACTGCATGTAGACAGACAAGCTGAGTCTGAAGTATCCTAATTTGAATCTGATAGGATAAGCCATTTTGTTTTGCTACCAGCATTTTGTCCCGCTGGTGAGCAAGATCTTAGAAGGGCAAAGATTAATAGCATTTCTTATTGTAAGTTACGTTAAATACACATCACTGGAGTGTCTCTGTATCAGCAAATAATGGGCTCACAGACTATTAATACCTATACAAGTTTAAACTACAGCCAACAAATCAGAACAGTTTATGTTATGATTGGCGAATAAAGTTTCCCTTTTGTCAAATATGAAACAAAAGGAATATATACATTTATTTTGATTACTTTATTTAGTTTTAAGTGCAAAGATGCAGATTTGCTGTGCTTTCCGCCAACAGGTCAAAGTATGAAATACATGTATTTTCATTCTAGAACAAGGTCTGGAGTGGCCATTTCATAAATGCAACATTGGTCAACAGAAAGTTATTCACAAGGCCAGAATTGTGAAGTCGCACAGAGATAACTGACCAGCTTTGTCCAGGTTCAACAATTTAAAAAGTGGTTATAGAGAGAAGAAAGATATAAACATAATTACCTTGGGTAGTTCCTCAATCTGGTTGGCGTCGAGGTAGAGCTCCTCCAGAGTTCTCTCGAAGCTGAAGATCTCCTTGGGGACCTGCTGCAGGCTGCAGTGGGAGTAATCCAACACTGAGATCACTTCCTCTTCCCCACGGAAACAACGGCACGGCACCAGCCGGCCAATCAGCTTCCGCTTAGTGGTCATCTCCAGACACTGCACTGTAGAGGCAAGGAGAGGAAGGAGATGACATTAGACGAATATCAGACAGTATGCAACTCGTAAAAATCAATCAGAAGATTGTTGGTGGGACATCACATCAGGCTCGTTCACCAACAGATGACAAAAAAAAAAGCCTCGGAAACATAAATTATTTTTTCTTCAATGGAGCTTTCATTAACAATCATTTGTGAGATTGTCTCTAAAACTTGCTAAAATGCAATCATGTGAGCTGTATTCATTAATGGTGACAGATTTCACTGCTTATCTGAGTAATAAATGAATGAGTGCACAAAATTACTCTTTTTCCAACAAAAAAAAGGTGTATGTACAGGGAAAAAGTGTAATGTCGGTGTTAATTGAAGTTGGTAACAATTGATTATGGGGTTTCATCTTTTTCCTATTTGTATCACCTTCATTTGATGTGTTTTCTGATACTTTTGTTATCATTTTTTTTAAATGTCAAATGCCAATCCTAGCTTTGAACATACATGCATGAATCCATAAAGCTAAAACATCTTGGCATTTTAACATGCTTTAGAGAGGGGAACACCACCTGTAAAATGTAGTGGGAAATGTTCCAGGGTACAAATCTTTAAAATAAAGAGTAATCATACGACCATGAGAAACAAAAGGAGGGAATAACGCATGAAATAAGGCCTTAACTTTGGAGAAAACCACTTGATGTTTTTAACTCAGACAGCTGAAGACTCATATTAGCTTCAGATGAACTTTGTAATGCTCTCAATTGACCACCAGGCAAGTCTAACACCTAGGGCAGCTGGGTAATATAATCGTCACTCGTCAGCAGTTACACAGCATGCTGAGCCTCAACACTTTCTGTCAAACACATGCACGCACACACACACACTCACACACTCACACTCACACACTCACTCTTTACTCAAACACAGAGTCAGAGCTATATAATTATACTGAAGCCTTTGTAATTCTGCGACAACATCACTCTGTCACTCCATTACAAGACTAGCTTTAAAAATCCAGCAGCTGAATAGCATGAGTACACTAACCACGGGTATTACAATTCTCCAGTGGGGATTTATCATTTAGCGTTATCATTTCAAACCCAAACACTTACTACACTCATTCACTGACAAATAAAAACGTTTTAATGCCAACCCTTTCAAATAGAACAAAGATTTATTTCTTTTTCAGCTATCTTGACTGCCGCTTCAATTTCCTGTTTGATCTGGATGAGCAGAAACCAGCTGTGGTGAGGAGAAATGAAGTAAGAGAACAACAGGAGGGGATGAAAAGACATCGAGGAATCAAGAGGGGGAGAAAGGCGGAGAAAAGGAGGGCAGAACATATAAATAAAGAGGCGTAGAAAGCAGATTGAGGGAGAACGTGAGGCTGAGAGATAAGACATGCGGCTTTATCCGTCTATAAACACACACATGTCCAGCACCGTGTGACCAGATGAATTCAGAAGATAGACAGGGTGATCTTGAGCACTGTGAGGACGATATGTGTAATCTGCTCATGTGTGTTTTGTGGGGCGAAATCTGATCAGACCGCAGATCCTCCAGGACTGTTTATCTTGAAAGGGCTGGACCATTATAATCAATACGTCCTTATCCACAGCCACGCGCAAAGCGGGCGTAATGAGGCGAGCGGGGATTTACTGTTTGTCTCCAGCATGTGTAAACCAAACACGTAGAGCTTTTCATGGAGCTCACACCTTGGACCACTGGTTCTTGTTTAACCCTGCATGTGTAGAGCTGAAAAGGTAACTTGGGGTTTGTTTAGTTAAAGTGGACCCATCATGCTATTTTTAGGCAATAGCATAGGTCTCACATATATAAAAAAAATATAAAAAACATGTCTATGAAGTGTTTTGCTCAAAATACCAAACAGATCACACATTCTAGCCATGCCTCATATCCCTCTATTTCACTTCCTGTTTCAAAAGTGCTGATTTGGGGTATAAAGCTTTTAAAAAAAAAAGAAATTGATACAAATAAAAAAGGAGGGGGCTGAGCTCATGCGGGACCCGGCAGCTACTGTCTAAACTAAATACTGCGGTGATGAAACGCCATATCATGGATTATCAAGGATTATTTCTGAAACACCTTGTGGTATTGCCGGTTATACCACAAGGTGAGTTCCTTTTTATTTCCTGCTTCTTCACACACATGCTCTCTCCAGTACAGGTTAGCTCTGAGTGTTAGCGATGCTAATGTAAACATGCACCGACCATATTACGTCCAAAACAGTCGGGCATTGTTTCTGATAGCAACGTTTCTGATAGGGCCGTGGGTGTAAAGCCAGCCTACATTTCCGATACTACGTCATATCGGACGCAAATCTGGATCAGCTCCGTTGTAGCCCCGTTTTTAGAGATTTGGATACGGAGGAAAGGAGAGAGGGTTTTATATGCTGACGCTGCGGGGACACATATTTATGTATAAAAGACATCAAAAAGTGCATTTTGCATGATAGGTCCCCTTTAAGGTTTCAACAATGAGGATTATACAACTCCGATAAGCTTCTACTATACCTTGTCGTCTTTATGCCAGTACAATGTAGTGTACTGACAACTCAGAAAAAGATGAAGCAAAACTATAGTTGGGCAATAAGGATACATTATTTCTTGTTAAGTAGAACAACGTGGTTAAACCTTTTAAACTCTCTTTCTTCTAACTTGATAAAATAGTTTTCTTTGCGTGAAAATGTCAAGAATTTAACTTTTCTTAAGAAATCAATGAAGCCAACAAGGTCAAGGTTGATTGAAAAACAGATTGGATAAAAAGGCCACAGTAAGCAAGGGCTGTTTTGGTCACTTACATGTCATAATCGACAAAAGCTTTGGAGTGAAAATAATAGATCAGGCCTTAAGAAGACCAGGGAAGTAGCCATGGAGGCATGGGAAGAAATGGGAGGAAGTAGACAAATATTATAGGGCATAAACCGTGGGGAAACCATTTTGCACTTAGTTGTTTTAGGTTTTAATCACTATTTCACTTTTTTGGGAGTTCAAGGTCAAGAACTTAACTTAACTTAATTTAATTTGTACATTGTCTATTCAGTAACAAGTTGGAGTTTTGAAATTCATATATTGATTATTTATTAGTCCACCTTTCGGATTATTTTTACCACTTTCCCCCACCTGTTGAAATACTGTATAATGATTCATTTATTATATACCTGCCGACCTAAAACTCATGTTGTTTGGATTTGCCAATTAAAAACGGTCAAGTTTTAGTATAAAATGTAATATTTCTAAATAACTTGTGCAACAGCCTCACGATCAACAGGTATTGTTATGTTAACAGATTCCAGGCTTTGAGCATTACTTGAAAAAGAGATCTATGATCTCAATGGGACCAATCTGGTTAAAGGTTTGAAATTACACACATTTACAGGTGAAGACATCCTGCTGATCTGTGCGTAATACTCTGCACCAAAGATGGTTCAATAGAAACTATGTGACACAAGACATTACCTAATATACATATATAGTATTCATTGACATGTTGTAGGCTTACATGTCATTACATTCTGGATGTAACAAATGTTTGGTTTCAGGGTGGCGCTCTAATCAGAAATGTCATACATCACTTTCCATCATAGCTACACAGAAGAAGCATCGGGATCCTCTCATTGGGTGAGCAAGCAGGCAATCTGATAGCTCACTTGGCTGAAAGCTACATGCCTACCAAAGGTGTGAAATCAGTGTGATGCTTGCTTCATCCTCTAATCAACCCTACGGCATCCTGGCCAAGAGCCATGTAGCCCAGCAACACTGACCAGAGCTCATATGACCTTTATAATATATCTCCACCACAGATTAAATAGGATTCATGTGTGTTATATTTTTTAGCTTTGTTTGTTCTTTGTTCTTTTTCCTTGAGTGATCACAGTCATGAACTCTATTCCTGTCCACAGACTGACATGCTGACTAGTCACATACAAGCTTCAGCATTTATTTTCCTGACTAACTTGTGATGCAGAAACTTGAAAGTATTACTGACTGTCCTGAATGTCAAAATGTAATAAACCCACCAAAAAGTGTTGTGTTAAATTAATTCCGCAAATTCCATTTTTTATTTGCTAATGATACTGCAGCTGCTTGATATACACTCATACTCTATTGATGTAACAGCTTAAGCATGCAAAGACAGCCTCAACTCAAAATAACAGGGTGTTTTTGTAAAGAGAGGAGAGAAAAGAGCGGATGTTATCCATTAGAATTAGACAATGACAGCCGGGACAATGACAAATATTAGGAGCAAATGGGAGTTTGTTTACATGGGCAGCAATGATTGCCATCTGTGGGCAGTCACCTTCATGACACAGACTCCTCCAGAGGCACATTTTATACTAGGAAGAACGTAGAATATGAACAAAGAAGACGCACAGAACAGAGAAGATGTAGAGCTACTCCTGTTACCTCAAACCTATAGACTTCATTTCAAAAGATTAATATTGGAGAACCACAACAAGATGGCCACTTTTATAATACTTTAAATACAATGTATCATCGTTTGGGATAAGGATCTATATTGAGTTGTGTTCATTCCTGGATATCATGTCTTGTGGAAGAAAAACAATTATGTTGTGTTTCTTGTGCTGTGGGACACTGAAGTCAAACCAGTCCTGTTCAGACTTAAGAGAGCCCCCCCATAAAAAGGTAGGAAGAGAGTCAGAGTGAGCTGGCACCAATAGGGAGAAACCAGGAAGTGAGCGTGGTTGGCTGTGTTGGCTCTTGCTGCTGCTATGGAAACAGCATGACAGAGCAGACTGACTCTGCAGAGGCAACACTACATGTGCAAGCTCCCAGCATGCACATTATACACACACACACACACACACACACACACACACACACACACACACACACACACACACACACACACACACACACACACACACACACACACACACACACACACACACACACACACACACACACACACACACACACACTCAAATGATTAAGCTTTGTTCATATCAGTACAATGAGAAAAGAAAAATGTGA